CTGTTGATTTTGTCTTTGTCTGGTCAACTTCCAATGAAACATAAATAAATGAATGAACAAACTTTATTTTCAAAGGGTTCAGAATTTGGTCCTCAACTCACTCACGCCATTTTCTTGACAGGCTTTACATTTTTCTATAGGAAGAAACTGCCAGTCTCATGCCAACCCTCCTTAGGTACTCATATGACATTCATGGTAAGTTACAGTTTTGCTATCTTATGTTGAAATGGTGTTGCCAGCTGTCCTCTTTCAATGGATATATTCTACTAACCACCGGACGCTGATGTATGTTTTTGCAACAACAAAATGGGGTGGGGGGGGGGGGGTAATCTTAGCACCTGCAGATGTGTTCTGCAGGCCATGAAATTAACCCAGCTTATAACCAGTAAAATGTATACACATCTAGGCCATCCTTCGAATAATGGGCACATATTATGGAGGCCGCAAAAAACCCTACCAGAGCCTCAGTCACGTGTCAATTGCGCACTTCCTGCGACTTAATTTGCGAACTTCCGGCGACTACCACCATCGCATCTCTTGCAGCTTTGCTCATGAGTCCAAGTCATCTAATTTAGCCCCAATCAAAGCCGCTCACGCGGCGTGGGGGATACTCTCGGCGGTGGCGGTAGTCGCCGGAAGTTCGCAAATTAAGTTGCCGGAAGTGCCCAAGTGACACGTGACTGAGGCCCTGTTTTTGACCGGCATATTTTGTGCCCGTTATTCAGAGGATAGCCCACATCTATTTGTTTCTGATGCTGAAGATGGCAGATCTATATTATTAATATAAATACAATATATTCACCAGAGTTAAAAGCGAGTATTCTGTGAATTTAGTAAATACAGTAAAAATATTCTGAACTGATTTCAATGAATGCAATAAGTCATTCAATAACCTTCAACTATCATATTTCACTGAGAAATATTTGAATATTTGACTGTTTTCATGTAACAGTTGGTGCATGCAACTACATTCCCCCAGCTGTGTGACAACAATACAGGATTTCAATATCACGATGATTATGAAATAAGTAATTCCGCACAACGGTGCCAGCAATATCTTGCTACACTGCTATACAATGCTGTGTTTTAACAAAAAACAGTAACTTAAATAAACACATCACGTTAAAATAATGATTACATTTTACAGTAATCTGTGTAAACTGTAATCGTATATTAAAACAGTTCTAACACAAGAAGAATTTCACTATTACACTAAGGGCGCCTTTCTTTCTTTCCAGATGATCGTTTTCACTATTAGAGAATATTATAAATATTTAAAAAAAAAAAAATTAATAATGACTAATGTCACTAATGACTAATGTAGTAATGTAGCAAAGAAGCAGAATTCAGGAAGGAATGTATGGCATGTTCCCAGGGTAGACATAAACTAAAACTTGTTTAAGTTTTTGTGTAAAATTTAGTTGCAAGGTTTAAAAGGATTAGCAGCAACAAAGAATATTAATAACCAGGAATGAACACACAAGAAAATTGAGCACATAACTTACTTTATTAAGAGCTTGCTCCATGTTTCTGTCACCACAAGAATGGAAAGATTGTTCACGTCTGCAAGGTGCCTCCTCGGATCTGGATTCTACAGGTCAAGGCCAACTGGAGACAACTAAATACCGAAACGTACAATTTTTTTTTTTTTAATGGTGTTTGAGAGAACTTCACGTGTAAATGATACCACGGTTCTTGTGTGGTGAATGTGAGAACCGTTATACAGTGCAGACCTGATAAGAACTCACTGGGATCCAAGAAATTTTTTTTTTCATAAAATCCTCTTATCCGAATAAGAGTTCAAGCAAGAAAAACAAATTGCCGGGAACAAACAAATTGTTCTTCACAAAAGATATTCGCCACATCCGAGATCGCCTTCGCGGCCTGTACTGTCTATACTACATTCGAAATTGGTCAATAATAGATATTCGCCACTAGAAAACTGCAGATGCAAGGTGTATTAAAGAAGAAGAATAGCTCAAGCAAAGGCAGCATCCCACAAAATGCAAATTATTCTTTGAAACCTTTCTTTGTAAATGGGGCAAGAAAGATAATTCTCAAAAGCTATTCCTATATAAATCTTTTTCTTATATACGGGAACGAATAATGGACAGTTGGCCAGTAAATCAATAAAAATTATGGAAAAGCGGTAGTTGTTTTATAGATTGTTTGTTTCTTTGAGTATCCAGAAGCCATGAGTTGTTAACCCTTAGGCTCGGTATTATGGATATCGCAACCTTTCGGCCTTGATTCCATTTTAAATACCGTAAATCTGGGATAAATGTGGCTTTTCTGCCCACCCCCGGGAGTGAACCCGGACCACAAGGAGTTCGTCACCCGCTCACCGCGCAATCCGGTTTAGCCAACTACGCTAGAGAGACGGGCTTGTTTTATAGATGAACTGGGACAACACCCTGGACAGATTAAAAAGAGTAATGCAGATGTCTTGAAAGAAATTTTCTCGCGGTGAGAACTCATGCATCAGAAGGATGCTACACTATCTACATGATTTGTTTATGCCATGAACAGTCCTTACGACATGGAAGATCATCTGTGTCAGAACCTATTGAAAGCAGACGAAACAGAAGGTTGTGGATAGACGTGACTTCCAGTGTCATGCGGCATGGACTTTAGGAAGATGAAAATATCGTCTCCACGTTAAAGGATTACATCAATTAATCTCCAACACTCTGTTTCTTACGCTCCTTGTTGCCAGTTGTCCATTTTCCGTCTTTCCAGACGATAACATTAAGATATTATAGTTTGCTTTATGGAGACCCGGGAAACACAATGCAAGACAATAGCCAGTCTGACGGGGGAAAAAACTCATATGGCGTTTTTACACTTTTTTAAAGCATGCAAAGATAAACAAATCCACCACTCAAGTTACCAGAGAAACGCAAGACAAATACAGAACAACAGGACACAACGCGGTGACAATTATACGACAAAGGAGATCTACGTAGACAATCAGACCTAGCAACACTGGATTACATGTTACCTTCCAACCTTTTTATGGTGCCCTAAAATAACTATATATAAGAGTTCCATATTTGAACCTGTTTGATTCTTATCCTTGCGATTTTAATCCTACAGACCGAAATTCTGGAAAGAATTTGTGACCGGGTGACGAACTCCTTGTGGTCCGGGTCCACATTTCCCCCAGATTTACGGTACCTATCATGGAATCAAGGCCGGAGGATTGCGATATCCATAGTAACGAGCCAAAAGGTTAACAACTCATGGTTTCTGGATTTTTAAAACAAAAATGCAATCCCATTCTGGCACATGACTACTAGATACACCACCTGAAGTAGCCGTCTAGGGTACACTAATTATAACTTCCTTTGAGACTAAACGGGATATCTGGATTTAACTAATTAGTTCGTCACCCATGATGCAACTCTTCAAGTCGCGGGGGTGGTAAGATTATCTAGTAGCAGGTAAATGATTAAGTGACCCTTTTGTGTGTCAAACGACCTTTTCACATGGGTCGCCCAACAACATCAACAAACCAAAACACAATCGGAAAACAGATATTCACTGAAGTCATGAGGTAGCAGCGAAAATATTTGTATGGTAATGGGTCGCCACAACAAGAGGAACTGTATTTAAGGGTCACCTCATTAGAAAAGTTGAGAGCTGCTGATGTACGATTGACTGTACGCCCCTCTTTAGCCTGTACATTAATATTTTTTTTAATTACCTTATTTATTTTGCGACGCTTAAACTCTGGCCACCACTCAAATGTTGCCGCCATATGCAGCTGCACATATTGTTCTTGCACTGACAAACAAATCTGTTTAGGTGAATTAATTAGACAGACAGACGGAAGGTCGGACATACAGACAGATTGATGGATGGACGGACGGACGGACAGACAGACAGACAGACAGACAGACAGACAGACAGATAGATAGACAGATAGATAGATAGATAGATAGATAGATAGATAGATAGATAGATAGATAGATAGATAGATAGATAGATAGATAGATAGATAGATAGATAGATAGATAGATAGATTAGACAGATAGACAGATAGATAGATAGACAGACAGACAGACAGACAGATAGATAGATAGATAGATAGATAGATAGATAGATAGATAGATAGATAGATAGATAGATAGATAGATAGATAGATAGATAGATAGATAGATAGATAGAATATGCTGAGGGACAAATATGTGTTATAATATGCTTGAAGTACTATGAAATATAAACACAGATGTTTAAAAAGAGAACTTCTTTATGCAGTTAGGTAGCCGGTTAGACAACTTACACATTTTCTAGAAAAGGAGGAGGGGGTGTGCGCTTAAAATTGTTAGGAAGGAGAGGCGCAAGGAGCCAATCTGGCTGGTTCTGGCGCAATTGGCACATTTGAGTTCTAGTCAGAGCCTCGGAATTCGTGCATTATGTTGATATTCTTTATGTCTGATCAATACTTAAACGCATGGCAGAAACATGTGTTTGAAATCACAGCAATTCGATAGGTAAATTCATAGAATTGTGTTCTTTACAAATCAATACTTCTACCAGGCCTTCGGGCTTATTTGGTTAATGTTTATGTCTCATTAATAAAATTATAACGGAAAACAGTTGGTTTTTGTATATACAAACAAAACCGAAGTAGTAGTAATTTAAACAACGATACCCTTGTTCAATAGTACTGGATTATCTGGTGCTTTTGTTTCTATTTCAATATTGGATGTTTTATGAATTTATACTGTATGTTATTTATTATTGCATACAAGATATATTAATTGAAGCAGATTGTAGAATATCGATTGTTAAGTTCCAATTATTGTTCGTGTATTTTTTGTATAACTATAATACAAACCAAACCTGATAAAGGACTTGGAACAGATAAACTGGGTATAAAATAGTATCAACACCGGATGTTTAGCAGAGTTTGTAACGGGCAGCTTGTTTGTGTTCAGGACTTCATCTTTTTGCGACTGTTTTCGTTTTTCATTAAAATTAAAATTCTGTCAGTAATGAGGAGAACAACTCCTGTAGCCATTACTACGGCATGCAGAACAGCTAGTCTTGTATGCAGCAAGACATTTCATAAAGATTATGTAGTGAGAGGCCGTGCAGAAACTGATGCGAACTTAATCTGTCGTGGGTTTCACCTTCAACCTCAGTGTCGTCAGATCCACGCCTGCACATATAAGTATGAAAGGTTTCATGCGAAATACAATAAGTGTTCACAACATACTTTGGGACGAATGTTTTCTTCTTCCAACATTCATTGCTACAGCACAAAACCTGCTGATGTGAACCCTTTATTAAAACATTTACAAAGGCGAATAAAAATGGCAGGGCCCATAACGGTTGCAGACTATATGAAGGAAGTTCTTACAAATTCTGTCTCAGTACGTATAGTTGTTAATTACCACAAAAGTAACAGTTGAATTAAAAAAAAAAAAACATGCAGTGTGTTATTTATGCATCTTGACTGTTATATTAAGAATCAACATCACAGCACTCGGGACACTGCCATAAGCACTCTGTCCCCATCTTTAGCAGCAAGCAAAGATTTCCAATTCCGAGGGTACCAGTAAATGTCTGATTGTACATCCCTTGAGAGTTGAGCATCGGCCAGATCCCCTGGTAACTCCTCGCAGCGCCATTCTCCTCAGGCCGTAATGATCTATTTGTGCCTCTGCACTGTTCACTCGCTCCCAAAGGGCCCTCACAACGTCTAGTTTGTCGTACACCACTTCACTACCAGGTGGTGACCAACTGGCCAGTCTATAAACATGCTCATTTCCCAACGCAGCACCATGACCTAGAGAAAATATCCGAAGGACTTTAACTACTTAGGACCTCTTAAGCAAAACTTGCCACTCTGCATGCAACATGCCTGTCTCCACTTTTCTCAGCAGGCTCTTTGAGTCAGTAACAATCATGGCATGTGTGTACAGCTGATTCTCAAGCCAGCGGAAGGCAGCAGTGACTGCATCCACCTGCATTCTCAAACTAGACGTTGTGATATATGCCAATCTTTGTTGCAGTAAGCAATGTCCATTTGCTTTTGATATGATCCGCCATGCACTTCATATGTATGTTTTGATTACCCCTGGAGTGTTACTAGAGCCAGTAAAGAAAGTAGGCACTATAACCTGCACTATACTTCTGCATTCATTTTATCCATAAAAAAGCAGTTGGCACATCCTATTGTGGTTCACAGCTAGACAATAATATAAGCACGTTTTGCTCCATAACATTACAGTGAAACCCTAATTTGTTGCCATTTATGACATACTTGTTGTTGGCACCGGGTGTATTCTTTTTTCACTAAAATGTGACCCTTAAACCCACAATAGGAAACCTACACTGTTCCATAAGCATTTCCTTTTTTTTTTTCAATTCCTATTATACTAACTTCTGCTACTGTCTCAATGACATGTTACGAAAAGGTGGGAATGATTAAAACAATGTCTGTGTAGTCACCTGATATACTGTATACATCTTTCTGAGTTGGTTGGAAGACCACACTTTATTGGAAGATTAAACACAGAAGAAGAAGACTAGTTTGTTTGAGGCCATTTACAATTTTTTAAATTTTAATCTTTTTCTTGATATTTGTATGCTCAGGTCAAACCATCCTTTGGCTGCCTCTATGAACTCGCATGTCAGCTGCAGGTCCTTCATGGTTCCCCGTAGCTTGCTCTGCACACTTTGCTGTTGGGGCCAGGTTTCTTGTCATAGTTGTAGGTAGAGCGGGCAGGCTTGCAGAATGTGCTCATGTGTTTGTATTCCTGAGGAGACTGTACAGTCTTTATTTTCTGCATCTGGTAGTTGAGCCTGCAGTGTCTTGCTCTTAGACGGACAATTATTGTATTGTTTTCTGTCGAGTCCTCTTATGGAGTCTTGTGGATGTTTATAGTATAAGTCAGTGTGTCAAATTTACATGTTGACAAAAGCGATGACAACGTACGCCAGAAAATCAATTTGTTTGTCCCATTCTCCAGGGCTACTACATGAACAGAGATGTGTTTGGTGCCGCAGGTGACTTCATCACATCACCAGAAATCAGTCAGATGTTTGGAGAGGTTGGTTTATGTGTTGTTTTGATGTGCAAGCTAATTTCTTATTATCAGAAATGTTTTCATTTTACACTCTTCACAATAACAGGTTAAAAAAAAAATTAAAGGGCCAACACAATGGGTCATGTGATCAACATCACATCAGCTACCTTTACTTCCCAAGACATTACCTGGTAACCATTTTAGGCTGGGTCGACCTCGTAGCCAAGATAAATTTTTAAAATAGACTGGTTCGATACACATTCTAACCAAAGACCTTCCGATAGTATAAGGTCTTCTCGTAGTCTGTGTCGTCTGGCGTTGATAGTCATGTATATTCACAACCTTATGTCTCAGGTACTTTCAGTCATTTCCGAGACAGATGATCTTCCATGCCATGGTATCAGACTATCCAGCATCTTCTCTTTCAGTCGCCCTCTACCTCCTGTCCCCTGCATCTTTCCCATCATCAGGATGTACTCCAGTTTTCTCCTTCTCATGACATGATCAAATAATGTTGATTGTTTCCTTCCGATGTTGGCAGTCACTTCTCTCTCTCTGTGTAAGTCAGTTTCTTTCAAGACAGCTTTATTACTCTCTTTAGGGTCCCTTATATAACATTCATAAAACCACTTCTCCACCTTTCTACATAATTTTCAGTAATTGGCCAACTGTCCATGATTCACTTCTGTATATCAGGATAGGATTTATATATCCCTTGAGAATTCTTTTTCTCTCCGCTGTTAATAAAGATTGTCTAGAATATTCGTCATTGTGTAAAATGCTGCCTTTACTTGAGCTATTCTGTGTTTAACTTCTTGAATACTTCCATCTGCTGTCATCAGGGTATCCAAGTACTTCAATGTATCAGCTTCATCATCATCATGTGCCATGCCAACTGGCATAGGCACTCATGCGTCTCATCAGGATCCCTGGTTGACTGGAACAGCTCTCTTGATGATAATTCTCCATGCCATTGTTTCAGCTTATCCAGCATCATCTCTTGGTCTGCATCTACCCTTTTTTCATTGATCTTTCCAGTTGTCACAATGTTCTTCAATGTCTCTCTTCTCATTATGTGGCCTAAGAACAGTGTTTGTCTCTTTCTTATTGTATATAGAGATCTACCTTCATTAGCTTCTTTCAAGCAATCATTGTTAGTTACTGTAGCCGTCCAAGGTATTCATAACATTCATCTCAGAAACCACATCTCTATTGCTTCCAAATTCTTCCTAATTTGTTCACTGACATTCCAAGATTTGCTGCCGTACAGCAGAACAGGTTCTGTTTAAAAATGTAGTACCCTCTTTCTGACATTAGATCAGCTTAATTAATGATGATTTCATTTACTTTGATTCTGCTGACCGTTTATCCTTGCCTGTCACGCAGATGCGCTATGACTTGGAAAGAAGTGCCCCTAATTAGTCGACTTTTTTTTTTTGTATGCTTAGGCATGACAGTGGGTCTATGAAACCCTCCCCCTCCCTTCCCCCCACCAATTCAGACTCTGGAACCTACACAAGGAGTTTTTTCCTGTTCAAACTAAGATCCCTGTTAAGAGATGAAGGTTCGTAATCCATGAACTGGTATCAAGATGTAGACATTGTCAGTGCACAAGAAGTACGGCACCATTCTCCCATGCTGCCATTGGTGTATTAAATCTACACAGAGCTTGGTGTGAGTTAGTTAGTCCAGGTGTTATGCTCTGTTAGTGATGTCATCAAGCAGAAGAAGCCTTGGTTGGCAGCTGGTCTAGGAGGGAAGCTCTAACAACAGGTGAACAGATAGAAAACTAATAACATGCGAACACATAGAGAACTAACAACAGATGAACATATAGAGAACTAATAACAGGTGAACACATAGAGAACTAACAAAAGGTGAACAAATAGAGAACTAACAACAGGTGAACACATAGAAAACTAACAACAGGTGAACAGATAGAGAACTAACAACAGGTGAACACATAGAGAACTAACAACAGGTGAACACATAGAGAACTAATAACAGGTGAACAGATAGGATGTATGAAATGTACAAATCTCATCCTTTTTAGTGTTCACAGGCTGTAAGCTCTAGCAGAAAGTTCTGGGTTGTTTGTCTACACATGGACTGTAGTCTTGATCCAGAACTTGAGTTTTCTGTGCATATCCCTTTTACAGATCTGACTTATTTGTGTGCAGACTGTTGGTTCCTTGCCTGTGAGACAGATGAACTCCGACTCCAAAGGAAACACCCATAGTTAGTCACCTTGTACAACATGCTTAGGGGGGGGGGGGGGAGGAGGCAGTGGATTTATTCTTATAACCCACAAGAAGGGCCCTGGCATTCACACATGATACTTACTAAATGGATGTTGAAATGTCTCATTGTTGTTGAAATGTCTCATTGTTGTTGAAATGTCTCATTGTTGTTGAAATGTCTCATTGTTGTTGAAATGTCTCATTGTTGTTGAAATGTCTCGTTGATGTTGAAATGTCTCGTTGATGTTGAAATGTCTCGCTGATATTGAAATGTCTCGCTGATGTTGAAATGTCCCGTTGATGTTGAAATGTCTCACTGATGTTGAAATGTCTCATGGATGTTGAAATGTCTCATGGATGTTGAAATGTCTCGTTGATGTTGAAATGTCTCGCTGATGTTGAAATGTTTCATTTATGTTGAAATGTCTCATGGATGTTGAAATGTCTCGTTGATGTTGAAATGTCTCGCTGATGTTGAAATGTCTCGTTTATGTTGAAATGTCTCATGGATGTTGAAATGTCTCATGGATGTTGAAATGTCTCATTGATGTTGAAATGTCTCGCTGATGTTGAAATGTCTCGCTGATGTTGAAATGTCTCGCTGATGTTGAAATGTCTCGCTGATGTTGAAATGTCTCGCTGATGTTGAAATGTCTCGCTGATGTTGAAATGTCTCGTTGATGTTGAAATGTCTCGCTGATGTTGAAATGTCTCGCTGATGTTGAAATGTCTCGCTGATGTTGAAATATTTCGCTGATGTTGAAATGTCCCATTGATGTTGAAATGTCTCGCTGATGTTGAAATGTCTCGCTGATGTTGAAATGTCTCGTTGATGTTGAAATGTCTCGCTGATGTTGAAATGTCTCGCTGATGTTGAAATGTCTCGCTGATGTTGAAATGTCTCATGGATGTTGAAATGTCTCATTGATGTTGAAATGTCTCATTGATGTTGAAATGTCTCATAAACGTCTACTTTGCAGGTTTTTGGTGTATGGGTGGTTAACGAATGGCTGAATCACTATGACAACCAGCAGATACAGATTGTTGAGCTAGGACCTGGGCGGGGAACGCTGGCAGACGACATGCTCAGAGTTAGTGATAATGATTGTGTTGTTTCTGTTTAAGGCATTGTTTCATTTAGTTCATACCTTGCTGCAACATTTTGTTTTCAGTGTCAGATTTGAACACTAAGAACAGAACCATTTAAGCAATAGAAACATTTAAACAATGGAAGCCTTTAAACAATGGGAGCATTTAAGCAGTGGGAGCATTTAAGCAGTGGAATCATTCAAGCAATGGAAGCATTCAAGCAGTGGAAGCATTCAAGCAGTGGAAGCATTTAAGCAGTGGAAGCATTTAAGCAATGGAAGCATTCAAGCAATGGAAGCATTCAAGCAATGGAATCATTCAAGCAATGGAAGCATTCAAGCAGTGGAAGCATTTAAGCAGTGGAATCATTTAAGCAGTGGAATCATTCAAGCAGTGGAAGCATTTAAGCAGTGGAAGCATTTAAGCAGTGGAAGCATTCAAGCAATGGAAGCATTCAAGCAATGGAAGCATTCAAGCAATGGAAGCATTTAAGCAATGGAAGCATTCAAGCAGTGGAAGCATTCAAGCAGTGGAAGCATTTAAGCAGTGGAATCATTCAAGCAGTGGAAGCATTTAAGCAGTGGAAGCCTTTAAGCAATGAAAGCATTCAAGCAATAGAAGCATTCAAGCAATGGAAGCATTCAAGCAGTGTAAGCATTCAAGCAATGGAAGCATTCAAGCAATGGAAGCATTCAAGCAGTGGAAGCCTTCAAGCAATGGAAGCATTCAAGCAGTTGAAGCCTTTAAGCAATGGAAGCATTCAAGCAATGGAAGCATTCAAGCAATGGAAGCATTCAAGCAGTGGGAGCCTTTAAGCAATGGAATCATTCAAGCAATGGAAGCATTCAAGCAATGGAAGCATTCAAGCAATGGAATCATTCAAGCAATGGAAGCATTCAAGCAGTGGAAGCATTTAAGCAGTGGAATCATTCAAGCAGTGGAAGCATTTAAGCAGTGGAAGCATTCAAGCAATGGAAGCATTCAAGCAATGGAAGCATTCAAGCAATGGAAGCATTCAAGCAATGGAATCATTCAAGCAATGGAAGCATTCAAGCAGTGGAAGCATTCAAGCAGTGGAAGCATTCAAGCAGTGGAAGCATTCAAGCAGTGGAAGCATTCAAGCAATGGAAGCATTCAAGCAATGGAAGCATTCAAGCAATGGAAGCATTTAAGCAATGGAAGCATTTAAGCAGTGGAAGCATTTAAGCAATGGAAGCATTCAAGCAATGGAAGCATTCAAGCAATGGAAGCATTTAAGCAATGGAAGCATTTAAGCAGTGGAAGCATTCAAGCAGTGGAAGCATTTAAGCAGTGGAATCATTCAAGCAATGGAAGCATTTAAGCAATGGGAGCATTCAAGCAGTGGAAGCATTTAAGCAGTGGAAGCATTCAAGCAATGGAAGCATTCAAGCAATGGAAGCATTCAAGCAGTGGAAGCATTCAAGCAATGGAAGCATTCAAGTAATGGAAGCATTCAAGCAGTGTAAGCATTTAAGCAGTAGAAGCATCCAAGTAGTGGAAGCATTCAAGCAGTGGAAGGATTCAAGTAATGGGAGCACTCAGGCAATAGGAGCACTCAGGCAATGGGAGCATTCAGGCAATGGGAGCATTCAAGCAATGGGAGCATTCAAGCAGTGGAAGCATTCAAGCAATGGAAACATTCAGGCAGTGGAAGCATTCAAGCAATGGAAACATTCAAGCAGTGGAAGCATTCAAGCAGTTGAAGCATTCAAGCAATGAAAGCATTCAAGCAATCAAAGCATTTTAGCAATCAAAGCATTTTAGCAATGGAAGCATTTAAGCAATAAAAGCATTTAAGCAATTGAAGCGTTTTAGCAATGGAAGCATTTAATCAATTGAAGCATTTTAGCAGTGGAAGCATTTAAGCAATGCCAAATCATTACCCCACAAACAAGTTTAGCTATTTCACACAGCATAGGTTTCTTCCACACACTGTATTTGCTCTTAGATGGAGTTGGAAGTTTTTTCCACAACACTGTTTACATCTTAGACACCACAGGAAGATTCTGGCACAAGCAGGTTTTGCTCTTTCATACAGCAGAAGGTTTCTTCCACAAACACTTCTAACTGTTGGAAACAGGAGGTTTCTCCCACAGACAAATTTAGCTCTTGCACACAGCAGGAGGTTTCTCCCACACAAACTTCCAGCTGTTAGACATGGGAGCTTTCTCTCACAAACATTTCTAACTGTTAGACACAGGAAGTTTCTCCCACAAACACTTCTACCTGTTAGACACAGGAGGTTTCTCCCACAAACACTTCTACCTGTTAGACACAGAAGGTTTCTCCCACAAACACTTCTAGCTGTTAGACACAGGAGGTTTCTCCCACAAACACTTCTAGCTGTTAGACACAGGAGGTTTCTCCCACAAACACTTCTTGCTGTTAGACACAGGAGGTTTCTCCCACAAACACTTCTAGCTGTTAGACACAGGAGGTTTCTCCCACAAACACTTCTAGCTGTTAGACACAGGAGGTTTCTCCCACAAACACTTCCTCCCACAAACACTTCTAGCTGTTAGACACAGGAGGTTTCTCCCACAAATACTTCTTACTGTTAGACACAGGAGGTTTCTCCCACAAACACTTCTAGCTGTTAGACACAGGAGGTTTCTCCCACAAACACTTCCTCCCACAAACACTTCTAGCTGTTAGACACAGGAGGTTTCTCCCACAAATACTTCTTACTGTTAGACACAGGAGGTTTCTCCCACAAACACTTCTAGCTGTTAGACACAATTTTAGCTCTTAAATGGAGCAGTTTCTCCCATGATCAATTTTAGCTCTTTTAGCACTCAGAAACCATAAGACAGTTCTCCCACCGAAAATATTTAGCTCTTAAATGGGGCTGAAGTTTTTTTCCAAAACACAGTTTTAACTCTTAGACATCCCAGGATGTTTCTCCCACAAATCTGGATAATCTGAGGCCACAGGTACCACCACCTGTGAAGAACACAGGAGAGCTTTCATCTCCAGATGTCTATTTCTTAATTTGACATTGAAGGGTCAGACTAATGGAGGACACAGTTATATCTTATGTTTCTTTTTGATTTCTTTGTAAAAGGCAGTCATAAACATGTTTATTTATTTTATGTAGGTGGATTTTGCAATAGCTATGAGCATATCTGTTTTGCAGCACAGAATGAGCACTGCTGTCAGTGTCACGCTGACTGTCTTTACTTCCCAGGACAGTTTCAGATTAAGCTGGGTTAGTGCAAGCTGTCACCACATCTGTGGGATTTGAAACCACGCCAGGCTGGCCACATATTTTCTGATGCAGTATATTTAGTATCGATTAATTTTTAACAGCATGACTAGACACTCACCTGCAAATTCGAAGGTCTTGTGTTTGAATTCAAGCTGGATTTTTTTTAAATGATCTGAACTTCCCAGGTCGACCCATTCTTAAAAAGGTAACTGGTACAATCCTGGAAGGTAAAGGCACCGGCGTGATATTAACTACATCAGCCACCGAGTGCTGATTGGTCTATAACATATAGCTCTAGCACCATATGCCCAAAACGTCTGAGGGCGGGAAGAAGGGTCCTTTAATTTTAGCAGCCACTGATTAGAATTGTTTTCTTTGTTGCCAGGTTTTCTCACAGTTTCCTGCTATAAAAGATAAAATCAGCGTCCACCTGGTGGAAGTGAGTCCAGCACTGAGCCGCATGCAGGCTGCTAAAGTGACTGGCAGAGACATCTCAGACATTGACGACAAATTTGTGGACACCGCTGAACTAAGGGCGGAGCCATACCAACAGTTACCATCTAAATATGGACCCCTGGTGTCATGGTACAGAAGTTTGGCAGATGTGCCTCATGGGCTTTCATGTTACGTAGCTCATGAATTCCTGGATGCACTCCCAATTCACAAGTTTCATGTGAGTTTTCATGTTATAGTTTCACTTCTCAAGTTTCATGTGAGCTTTTATGTTGTAGTTTCACTTCTCAAGTTTCATGTGAGTTTTCATGTTACAGTTTCACTTCTCAAGTTTCATGTGAGCTTTTATGTTGTAGTTTCACTTCTCAAGTTTCATGTGAGTTTTCATTTTATAGTTTCACTTCTCAAGTTTCGTGTCAGATTTCTTCTTCTTCTTCTTTTTCTGCTGCTGCGTCTGCTCCTCCTCTTTATTCTTATTCTTCTGCATTCACTGGTGAGAACTCCTACAGAAATTCATGGCCAGTTATCTGTGTCAGAACTTTGACCATTTTCTAGGACTTGAGTGTTGCCTACACATCTGTTTTATAGATCTAATTTATTGTGTGCAGACTGATGGTTCCTCACCTTTCGGGTAGATACACTCTGACTCTGAAGGAAATGTTGAAGAAAACATCCTGTCTATGTTGGCAAGGCCTCCAGCAGGGAGCTTGTTTCTAGGATGTCCTTTTAGAGCTGTAGATAGGTTTTGAACATTGTGATCAAAGGTATGATCAGTGGACCTGGTGCAGCGGGGGTGGGGGGGGGGAGGGCGATGCATCCTGCCTCCCAGGTAAGATATATTTAACTTTGCATGACTGTAATATTGTTCTGATTTATTTTTCCTTTTTTATGTCGTAATCATGGCCTCATTGACAGAAAACAGAACATGGCTGGAGAGAGGTTTTAGTGGACGTCGACGCTGCTAATGATTCACTCAGGTTTGTGTTAGCTCCAGGACCAACTCCAGCTAGTGTCGCCTACTTAAAAGTGAGATGCCTTTTTTTTAAACTTCTCTTTGCTCAGTAATTGTTTATATTCCTCAGCATATAATTTTTGTTTTTAAATGGTATAAATGGTACTGTTAACATTTCCGGAGTCTGTTCCAAGGCCCCATTTTGGGGGACAAAAGAATTGACCCCTGGCCCTTTAAAAAGCATGTGGTAAATGGCGACTAATTAGAGGTGTTTCCTTCAAAGTTTGAGTGCATCTGCCTGAGAGACAAGGAACCAACAGTCTGCATACAAGAAAAGCCTCATCTGGGAAAACAGATGTGCAGGCACAACCCAAGTTCTGATGTAAGAAAGGCCAAAGTCTAGAAGTTGAGGAACTAGGACTTTCTACTGGAGTTTACGGCCAGTGAGCGTTAAGGAGGAAAAAAAAAGAAGAATAAATACTCTGAACATTTGCTTTTCAGTAGCTATACTAAGTACAACAATTGGCATAAACATATAGTAAACAATAACTATACTAAGTACAACAATTGGCATAAACATATAGTAAACAATAACTATACTAAGTACAACAATTGGCATAAACATATAGTAAACAATAACACAACTGTTTTTCTGAGCATATGTGGTAGTTGTTACAGTAAACACAACAACAGTGGAACCTCGGTTCTTGATCGTCTTCCTTCTAGAATATTTAAGTTTCTGAGCCGATTTTTCTAAGAAACAGAACTCCTGAATAGCTGTTCCTGACAGAGACACTGTAGGACGAGTATTGAAACTAAAAAATTTACATAAACAGAGTTAATATAACGTATCTATAATAGAAAACAGCATGGACATCAAATTGTCTTACTAATGACCAAAAATGTACGATGGTTTGTTTGGTTTTTAAAGAGTTAACACAACACTAACCAGGAAGCTTCACCGAGGGAAAACAGAAAGAAGCGCACAAATACAAGCTCATGTTTCATGTTTTCATTGGTAAATCCTCATCATCATTGTCCTGGTATGCTTTTACATCACATAGGACTCGCAGTCTGTTCCTTCATTCTGTTCTGTCCTACCGGATCGACATCATTTCCTGCAAATTTCTGTATGATAAAAACTTGACAGGGTGGGTGGTGCTGACCTAATGCCCAACCCTCCTCCTTTCTCATCCAGGCTTGGGACTGGCAGTGGCGAAGATTTCATTGGTAAATGCTTGAGTCAAAATGTTCACTATATTTGTGAATGTCTTTTCTGTTCCTTCGGTTGAGCCTCCCACATATAGATTGGGAAGTTTTATGTTCCCTGCTGATATAAGCTTGACCTTATTTGCTCCTGAGTTTGATATTAAGGATGATGCCTTACTTGACTTTGCTAGTAGATTGTTGTTTTTAAGATCAGATTGGAAAAATATATAGTATTTGACAGCTTTACAGGTCAAGTTACAACAGACAAACAGAGGATGTTGCAGTGATTAACCTCCATCAGTAAAGTAGTGATTAAAAAAAACACAACACACACAGTTTTAACTAAATCTGAAATCAATTAGGGTATTAAAATACGTTTAAAAAAATTTATATTAAACAGCAGAATACTATAATATATTTGATACTTACCTTTAGACTTTCATAGACTACTGCACCCATTTTAATTTGATGGTAGATTATTGGTTGGAAGTGTTTAAGTGTTAATATTAATTGTCAGTTTTGTCTATGGTAGAGTGTTCAGAGCAGTGAGAAAACCAATGTGGAAATTTGCCCCAGTGCAGGGTTGATAGTGCAGGAAATCTGCCAGCGAATCGGGCAACATGGCGGACTGTCTTTACTGGCAGACTACGGGCATACTGGAGAAAAAGGAGGCACTTTTCGGGTGTGTAGCATACGCATTGTTCCATGTTTGCTGTAGTGAAATGTTTATCGTATAAATTATTATTCTTCTCTTTCCACAACCTTTCAGATGTTAACTTGAATATATGTGGCAGTTCAATGAAAGCTGTTGACATCTCAACACAGTTTGTCTTCAGATACACCAGATGTTGCCAGAATCATCTTCTCTGGGCTGCATCTGTTAGACACATTTGCTGCAGATTCTGGGCTGTCATGTTACCAGTTGCAGTCATCAGTGTTTTCTATCCTTAGTTTATTGAATACATTGTGTCTTGTCTTTGATACCCTGTGTGAAGACTGAAGATTGTTACATGTTCACTTTTGGGGAGTTCATTTGCATATTCTTTCTTATGGCCTGGAAGTTCTGATTTGGAAAGTTTACAATATAAAACATTATCCAGAATTGTACTCCACCATGGATATTATCATATGTTTTTATGTGTGAAGTTCCCAGTATGGGTTCTGTGGGGAAAACAAGAATTGACCCACTGCCTCCCCAACAAGCATGTCATAAGAGTCGACTAATTGGGAGCTTCCTTTGAAGGCAGAGTATATCTGTATGAGAAGCAAGGAACCAACAGTCTGCATGCAATTGAGTCAGACCTGTGAAACGAATGTGCATGCAACACTCAGTTTCTGGAACAGGACTAGAGTCCAGAAGTGGAGGAACAACCAGAACTTTCTGCCAGAGTTTACAGCCGGTGAACGCAAAGAAGAAGAAGATATCCGGAGTTAAGAAAGTTTTGGACGTGAGAAAAACAAATAAAATTTATCAGCAACTAGAAAGCTATATGGGGAAAGAGCAACAGGACAAATAGATGAATTCTGCATAGCTAGACTCCATTGTCATCATGTAGCAGGTCTTGTGCAGAACTTTGTTCTCATCACAGCCTGGCTAAAACTCTGGTCTCTTGCTAGCTCTTCCGTCTCACCTACTTTCCTACCCAAGGTGTCACTTAAATCCTGTGCCCATCTTCATGCTTATCAGTCCCTGCCCCTCCTTCCCTGTACCATGCCTTATGCGATTTTTTTTTTCCAGTCTGCAGTGATGCTTGATCTGGCCACAAAATATTTTTGTTTTAGAGACAAGTTGCTGTCTACTAGCTAGTCTTCCTTGATGATCAGATCCTTTAGGATGTCAGTTTTTCTTTTCCTCTTTTTTGTCCTTGGTATTCTGAGAATTTTGTTTGTAGCATTTCAGCTCAGAAATATCTGTTTTCTTCCTTAATGACTGCAAGATTGCCCATGACTCACATCCTAGCTATGGAAGATGCATGCTCTCAAAATGTTTACTTTGGTATCCTTGTTGGTGCTTAACCATAGACTGTTAATGCTGTTTAAGACTTCATGGTATAATTGGCAACAGAACACAGACCTGATCTGATCCTAGTGATTGTGTGAGGTGATCAGCCATGACAGCCCAAACTTAGCAGTACGGCACATGATGATGTAAAATAAACATTTTTTCGTCTCCATCCGACAGGCATTCAAGAACCATGCTCTCCATGACCCCCTGGTTGACCCTGGCACTGCTGACCTTACTGCAGATGTAGACTTTTCTTATCTCAAAAACATGGTTTCCGACAATGATGGTGGTGGGTGACTGAGATTCTGTATTGTTTTCTTAATTATGGTCACAAACATCAGAAAACAAAGAACCATTCAATTCATTTATGAAGATAACACAGCATTAATGCTAGACCCCTTAGTCTTTACATAACTCCATTAGTTAGTTAGTTGAGGTTTTAAAATCACCACAATCAGGTTTCCCTATACTTGCTCCATTCCTGTGCCAGTGCGAATCAAATAAAATGTCCCTCACTGTTGCATATGAAAAACTGGTGAATAAACAAGTGGTTCCAAAACAATCCAGAAATATGTGCACGCAACCTTGCATTTTTTGCGTTGCTCGAGGCACCAAAACCAACAATCGCCACCAGAAATGCAGTTCGTTGTTGATGGAAGGAGTCGGGTACAATAAGTTGGTTACTGTACGCACGTAGAATTCTTACATAAAGTATTTCACCAACTCACACGTAAACCAGCCACCAGCCATATTGAACAAAACGACACAACAGCTGCACAAATGAAAGGCATCCCATAGGGAAAACACAGCTCACAGGGCTGCAACCAAGCATTGAACTCAGTAGCTCAGGCAGTGAAACCGACATAACTCTGTTATCATCATTGATCTATTCCTTTAAAAAAAAATGGAATGATAAGATCAGCTTCATTGCACTAGGTTTTATCCTATAAGGCTCAGTCTCTCTCTGCAGAGAAACATATAAGCTCCAGAAGATGAAAAAGATACAGATTTTCACAAGTCCTATCCACAGAAACCTCACCTGGAAGATAATCATGAATGAAGAAAAAGTCCCTGTATCAGTTCCGAGCCTCATTTTGGAGGGGGAAATAGACCCACTGCCTCCAAACAAGAGTGCGTAAAAACCGACTAATTACGGTTTTGAAGAAATTGGATGTGTTAGGCCGAAAGGTGTAAATGTCACAGCCTATATGCAAACTGCAGCACAACATGCCAGCTGGGCTTTTAAGGGCAAACTTAGAAGAAGAAGACAGTATACCACTCCTCTGTACTTCACTTCACTACACAGTAATTCAGAGTATAAGAAAGAAACAAATCAGAGACGTGTTTCATCATTGTTGTTTGATTAATGCAGTAGCAAACAAATAATTCCTCCTCATATCCATCAGCAGGTCCTTCACATATCCATCAGCAGGTCCTTCACATATCCATCAACAGGTCCTTTACACATCCATCAGCAGGTCCTTCACATATCCATTAGCAGGTCCTTCACATATCCATCAACAGGTCCTTCACATATCCATCAGCAGGTCCTTCACATATCCATCAGCAGGTCCTTCACATATCCATCAGCAGGTCCTTCACATATCCATCAGCAGGTCCTTCACATATCAGTCAGCAGGTCCTTCACATATCCATCAGCAAGTCCTTTACACATCCATCAGCAGGTCCTTCACATATCCATCAACAGGTCCTTCACATATCCATCAACAGGTCCTTCACATATCCATCAACAGGTCCTTCACATATTCATCAACAGGTCCTTCACAAATCAGTCAGCAGGTCCTTCACATATCAGTCAGCAGGTCCTTCACATATCCATCAGCAGGTCCTTCACATATCCATCAGCAGGTCCTTCACAAATCAGTCAGCAGGTCCTTCACATATCAGTCAGCAGGTCCTTCACATATCCATCAGCAGGTCCTTCACAAATCAGTCAGCAGGTCCTTCACAAATCAGTCAGCAGGTCCTTCACATATCAATCAGCAGGTCCTTTACATATCCATCAGCAGGTCCTTCACATATCCATCAGCAGGTCCTACACAGAACGTCCCTCTCATCACAGCGTCACACCTGAAAGTCTATCTATCTCTAGCCAGTTCTCCAGCCTTGTTTGCCTTCATAGCCAGTGCATCCTCAGTGTCTTGTATCCACCTTGGCAGAGGTCTGCCTCTGTCTTGTTTGCTGGAAACTGTACCCTCTGTCCCCGATCTCTCCAGGCTACCATGCTGCTTAAGTTAGTTGTGTCCCTTGACAGGACATTGCAGAACCAGCCACAGCATTTTTGGCTGTTGTGGTTTTTCTAGGCTAATTTACGTCCTGTAGTTTGCCATTGCTTTCTATTGCAACAGGTTATTTATTGAATGCCGCTAAACATGGTCAGAATACCTGAGCTTTGGGGACAGGATGCTGGTTATAAGCCAATTGCCCCTGATGCTCAGGTCACGTGGGATGTCGGTGTTTGTCTTCTTCTTGATCCGTGATATTCCAAGGATCTTACAGAATCACTCGCCTGGCATATTTCGCTGTATCTCCGCAGGTGTATTACTGCAGTTGATGCATCAGTACGACAAAACATCATTCTTCTCACTGAAATACACAAATCACATTGTTTCTTTGGATACATTGTTATCTTCACTAGTAGATTATACTGTCTTTTTCTCAATAACAGCTTGTTTACCCATTTGTTTATTTCTGCACAGTGAGTGTTTTCGGCCCCATTACTCAAGCCAGGTTTCTCAGCAACATGGGCATAGGACTACGATTACAGGTGACTGCGTGTTCATTTGATTCATTAAACTTTTTCTGAATTATACTTTCATTGATCATTCACTCGGTGACAAATTGAAATACTGGTAGTCCCATGATGGCCATGGCCGCTGAGGGGTCAATTGTTTGACCTTCACATCCTCTAGGTCACGAGTTCCCAAACCTAAATTCGTGACCCCATAGGGTTATGAAGGTTTTATGTGTCATTGGGCAGGGGGGAGCTGATTTTCAAACCAAAACAATAAACAAAATAAATGTTGAGAATGACATAAGGTTGACATTAATGAAAACTCAACCATGAATTTATGAGCTTGTTCATGAGTTACAGTTGTAATCATTGCATTTAATATGCCGTCCCCCTGTGGGTTCCAGAGCCCCTTTGTGGGGAAAACAAGAATAGACCCACTGCCTGTCCAGAAGCATATCGAAGTCGTACATCTGCCTGAGAGGCGAGGAACCAACAATCTGCATGCAAATGAGTCAGACCTGTGAAACAGATGTACATGCAACACTCAGTTTCTAGATTAGGGCTAGAGTCCAGAAGTGGATGAACAACCAGAACTTTCCGCAGGATTCACAGCCGGTGAACGCGAAGAAGAAAATTTAATATATCATAAATTAACATTATTTGGAATTATATTACAGGGAAGGCTTATGCAAGCAACAACCAAAAAAACAAAGACTGCAGAGATCAAATATGTCAACAGAAATGGGCAAATATTGCAGCCCTGTTGTAAACGAACACAAGGCATTTATGTGTTCTGATGTATGCAGTAGAAAATGAATGACATTGAGGACCTGATAAGGAGAAGTCACCAGGGACCCATGAAGTAGTTCTTCTTATTGGAAATTCCTCTAATGCAGATAAGAGTTCAAGCTTATGGTAATTGCCGGGGATAAACAAGGTGTGTATGTGTATGCGTGCGTACGCGAGTGCATGCATGCGTGCGTTGTGTATTGTGTTTGCAAGGGGACAAAAATGTTATTCTTCAGGATTTGAGCGTGGAACGGGCATTGGCTCATAGACTGGCTCTGGCTCATAGACTGGCTCTGGCTCATAGACTGGCTCAGAAACTGGAAACTTTGTTTATATTAAAAACTGTAATGGTTTGGAGAGGACAGTGATAGAGGTTGTAGTTCTTGGAAGAAGAGGCAGGGGCCGACCAGCATGACAGAAGATGTCTAGGACACATCCTAGGCATGAGAGTTCACGAGGCAGAAAATTCTGCAAGAAACTAAGTGGCATTCCAGTGTGACACAAAAAGTGCATTTTGCAAAGGACCTACTACACGATGCTGATAGTATGCGGAGGTGTTTACTTTTTTTTTTTCTGTTTGAACACGTGTTCAGTTTTTGGTGAAATGTGTGTGTTTGGATGTATTCAGTTTTACATCTTTTTGTATGTAACTTCTCATGCCAGTAGTAATTAAATTTATAAAACATATTTTCTCTCATTGAACTATCCAGACCTTGCTACAGAATGCCAGCCAAGACCATTGGTCCGACCTGGTGTCTGGCTATAAAATGCTGACTTCTCCAGAACAGATGGGAGAGCGGTTCAAGTTTATGAGTATCCTGCCCAAGTTACGTGATGCTTACGTTCCAGCCGGTTTTGTTGATCTTGACTTCAATGTAGTCTCAGATAGGCAAAGCAAATAAAATGTTATTAAAATCATTGTTTGGTTTGTACTGTATGCTGTGATTTTACATGCTTGTTCAATATTTGGACTCTAACTTGTGTTTTTGTCAGCTGATCTAGTCTGGTGAGATTGATTCAGGGGAAGTGATGAGAGGTTCTGGCAGATGCTCGATGCCCAGAGGAAAGGAAAGATAGACGTTTAATCAAATTGCTACTGACACCATTAGTATCGGAACTCTTCGCTGGCTGCTGAAGGTGGGGACGGAGCGCTTATGAGAATGCCCTGAGTGCTGTGATGTCGGTTCTTGAATCAAATCATATCCAGCGTTTTGTACTGTGTATTATGTTTTGTACGTTTTTCCAATATTTTATACTGTATATTGTGTTTTTGTGCAATTTAGTGATAAAATAACCAGAAAGGAAATGCCTACAACAAATTATAAACGTAACCGGAAGACACCGGATCAGAAATGGCGATATCAGGAAACAGGTTGGGATGAAACCAGTTGTAAACTACCCCAGGAGACAACAGATCAAACGGTTTGGACATGTGTCAGGACTACCATCAGATAATGCACCACATCGAGCCCTGTCACTTAGCCACAAAGGAAGCAGAGCTAGAGGTCAAGCAGACAGGCACTGAATAGATGGAATTTCCAAGGCTGCAAATACCAACGTATACACGGCACATTTCAAGACTTGCAGCCGGGGCCTCTTCATAACCTTATGCAGAAGTTTATAGTGGCTATTGTATGAATTTATTAGGCAATTTTACATTCAGTAGTTTGCCATTTCTTTCTGAACAGTATGACACTCATTATCAAAGTCAACACAAAGCAGACTTCTACCAAACTGTCTGTATTCCCACTTAAAATCCCTGGTATTTTGTGATTGTCAAACTTCATTCACAATCCCTAATCCACTGATAAGGTAATAGAGAGTGCACACAAAGATTTTCCTTAGATTGAAAGAAGCTGCATTTCTTGTATCAACCAAAAATAACAGTGCTATCACAGCAGGCGTTTCACTCGTTCACTCGTCCAACAAGTTGAAAACATTTAGAGAAAGATATGAAAAGCAAAAATTGAATTTCAGCAGATGAAAAATTCATAATAGGTACTTTCATTAACCGCCACAATAGGAGTGCTGAAATTCTGTACTGAACCTATTCTGCATGAGAGCAGAGTGAATTAACAAATCAGGGAGTTTGGAGGCAGCAGAGGTGTGGTTTCTGAGATGTTTAGAGGCAGCAGAGGTGTGGTTTCTGAGATGTTTAGAGGCAGCAGAGGTGTGGTTTCTTGGATGTTTAGAGGCAGCAGAGGTGTGGTTTCTGAGATGTTTAGAGGCAGCAGAGGTGAGGTTTCTTGGATGTTTAGAGGCAGCAGAGGTGTGGTTTCTTGGATGTTTAGAGGCAGCAGAGGTGAGGTTTCTTGGATGTTTAGAGGCAGCAGAGGTTTGGTTTCTTGGATGTTTAGAGGCAGCAGAGGTGTGGTTTCTGAGATGAATGTTTAGAGGCAGCAGAGGTGTGGTTTCTGAGATGGATGTTTAGAGGCAGCAGAGGTGTGGTTTCTTGGATGTTTAGAGGCAGCAGAGGTGTGGTTTCTGAGATGGATGTTTAGAGGCAGCAGAGGTGTGGTTTCTGAGATAAATGTTTGGAGGCTGCAGAAATGTGGTTTCTGAGATTATTGTTTTGGAGGCAGCAGAGGTGTGGTTTCTGAGATGAATGTTTAGAGGCAGCAGAGGTGTGGTTTCTGAGATAGATGTTTAGAGGCAGCAGAGGTGTGGTTTCTGAGATGAATGTTTGGAGGCAGCAGAGGTGGGGTTTCTGAGACGAATGGAGGCAGCAGAGATGTGGTTTCTGAGATAGATGTTTGGAATACCCTGGAGAGCTAGTTTAACCAATGATTTTCTTGAAAATTCGAATCCTCTTTTACCCTTAAATAAGGATGTGTGGTTTACAGCTAGGCTGCGGTATCTGCACATTGTAACTCAAGAAATCCAGTTTTAACAAATCCTTAATTTGTTGACTTTTTACGACATGCTTGTAAAGGAACAAATGGAAATGATCTGTTCTGTTCCACCCCCCCCCCCCCCCCTTTTCAACCCCTCTCCTTCCCGGAACCCTTACGGGGCGAAAACTAATAAAAATAGAATATTAAATGTAAGTGTAAGAAAGAGACTACTTTTTGGTCAAGTGAATAAAGAGCTTTAGAAGAACCAAGTGACTACAGGTAAGATAAGTGGCAGACTCTGACTACAGGTAAGATAAGTGGCAGACTCTGACTACAGGTAAGATAAGTGGCAGATTCTGACTACAGGTAAGATAAGTGGCAGATTCTGACTACAGGTAAGATAAGTGGCAGATTCTGACTACAGGTAAGATAAGTGGCAGATTCTGACTACAGGTAAGATAAGTGGCAGATTCTGACTACAGGTAAGATAAGTGGCAGATTCTGACTACAGGTAAGATAAGTGGCAGATTCTGACTACAGGTAAGATAAGTGGCAGACCCTGACTACAGGTAAGATAAGTGGCAGACCCTGACTACAGGTAAGGTAAGTGGCAGATTCTGACTACAGGTAAGATAAGTGGCAGACCCTGACTACAGGTAAGATAAGTGGCGGACCCTGACTACAGGTAAGATAAGTGGCAGATTCTGACTACAGGTAAGATAAGTGGCAGACCCTGACTACAGGTAAGATAAGTGGCAGACTCTGACTACAGGTAAGATAAGTGGCAGACTCTTGACTACAGGTAAGATAAGTGGCAGACTCTGACTACAGGTAAGATAAGTGGCAGACTCTGACTACAGGTAAGATAAGTGGCAGACTCTGACTACAGGTAAGATAAGTGGCAGATTCTGACTACAGGTAAGATAAGTGGCGGACTCTGACTACAGGTAAGATAAGTGGCAGACCCTGACTACAGGTAAGATAAGTGGCAGACCCTGACTACAGGTAAGATAAGTGGCGGACTCTGACTACAGGTAAGATAAGTGGCAGACTCTGACTACAGGTAAGATAAGTGGCAGACCCTGACTACAGGTAAGATAAGTGGCAGACCCTGACTACAGGTAAGATAAGTGGCAGACTCTGACTACAGGTAAGATAAGTGGCAGACTCTGACTACAGGTAAGATAAGTGGCGGACTCTGACTACAGGTAAGATAAGTGGCAGACCCTGACTACAGGTAAGATAAGTGGCAGACTCTGACTACAGGTAAGATAAGTGGCAGACTCTGACTACAGGTAAGATAAGTGGCAGACTCTGACTACAGGTAAGATAAGTGGCAGACTCTGACTACAGGTAAGATAAGTGGCAGACTCTGACTACAGGTAAGATAAGTGGCGGACTCTGACTACAGGTAAGATAAGTGGCGGACCCTGACTACAGGTAAGATAAGTGGCAGATTCTGACTACAGGTAAGATAAGTGGCAGACCCTGACTACAGGTAAGATAAGTGGCGGACTCTGACTACAGGTAAGATAAGTGGCAGACTCTGACTACAGGTAAGATAAGTGGCAGACTCTGACTACAGGTAAGATAAGTGGCAGACCCTGACTACAGGTAAGATAAGTGGCAGACTCTGACTACAGGTAAGAACAAGTGGCAGACTCTGACTACAGGTAAGATAAGTGGCAGACTCTGACTACAGGTAAGATAAGTGGCAGACTCTGACTACAGGTAAGATAAGTGGCAGACTCTGACTACAGGTAAGATAAGTGGCAGACCCTGAAAAACGATGCTGGATGGTATAAGAGGTGAAATGAATTAATAATTTCAGCAGAAATAATCCAGAACACTCCAGACTGATATTTGGCGGGAGAGATGAACGCCATCGTCATCGGACAAGGGACATGATGGCAGGGGTGTAATCTACCTCTTATCTTTCATTACCCGTACTATAAATCAAAATTTCCTGTGTAGGTTCCGTGGTCGTGTTGGGGTAAGGGGGGGAGGGGGACAGGAAAAGACCCACAAACGATCGTTGGCTAGTTGCAGAACTAAACAAACTCATCGGAAAGGCTTCTGCAAAGGTTTCCAAACTCACAACAAGAGTGTTATCAAACAAGAAGCTGACGGATTTGACCAAAATTAATGTTTAGGAAGCTTGCGTCCTGAGCACGTTACTTTATAACAGTGAAACCTGAACTATATGCTCCTCAGGAGAGAAAAAAAAAAAGACTGAATACTTTCCAAATGCGTTGGAGACACATTCTTGGTTTATCATGGCGAAACTTTGCACCCAACGAAAATGTACTCCAAAGAGCGGGAATGTCAACAGGGTACTTTTCACTGAAGCAAAGACGCCTACTTTGGTTATGACATGTATCTCACATGGAGGATGGTTGTATTCCAAATGATCTTGTGCATGGTGATCTGGTAACAGGATAGGAATAACACCTGCAGGAAGGCCAATGATGCACTACAAGGACGCGTGCAAACGCGATCTGAAAGATATCAACATTGACACAGACACTTGGGAGAGATCAGCTGCAGACTGACTCCTTTGGAGGCAGACAATGAAAGACCGACTGTCACAGTTTGAAAGAAGCCAAACGCAGCAAACTATAGAGTGGAGACAACCGAGAGAAGACCAGCCTCAGGATGATACAGCATTAACGTTTGTATGTAGACTATGTGGCAGAGTCTGTGGCTTAGGCTATCACGCTTCGTAATGCCGGGTTTAATATTTACAAATCACTGGTATTGTCTATTCTCTTATACTGACGTGAGAGTTGAAAATGGAAAGGAGGATTCAGGCTTTCGAATGTAAATGCTACAGACGCATTTTACTCATTAGTTATTTAGAACACGAAACCAATAAATATGTCAGAGACAAAATATACAGATTTGCGGGACATCAGGAGCCTCTCTTGGCAGTGGTGAAACGTCGCAAGCTAGATTGGTTTGGGGACGTTGTGAGACACGATTCGTTTTGCAAAAACAGTAAAGGAATACTGGAAAAAAAAAGGGGGGGGGGGGGAATTGTCGAAGAAGAGAAGGGCAACGAAGAACGTGGAATGACAACATCAACAAATGGACAGGACTTAGTTATAATACACTTATTCATCAAGCTGAAGACAGAGAAAGTTGTCGGGTTTTATGTGCTAGTGCTTCCATCAATACATCTATATGACCCTAACGGGTCAAGGCTTATGTTATGTATGTTATGTTAATGCTTATGTTCTATAAATCATATATTAGAGGAAGGATGGACTATGGTAGCATTCTGAATGATTCGGCAGAAAGAAAAGTTATACATATAAATTGGACAAAATTCAGCACTATGCATCATAGCAGGTACATCCATAACCACATCAAAGGGGGCTGTAGAAGTGCCAGTGGGAATTATGCCTCTGTACTTTACAAGAAAGAAATTCAGTCTAAATTTCTCCATCAGAGCTATCAATGACCAACCCTAACAGATCATTCCTTAAACACAGACACCGTTATCCAAATGGAGGCAAAATAAATATATATTTCGAGAACTAATAATTGCGTAACAGATCTGAGTAATTCTGCACCCTTGAACACGTTAAGCACCTTTCCGTCTTTCCAGACGATAGTGTTATAGTGTGCTATGAGGAGGCATGAGACTCACAGCCCATGGCTATGGCGAGTGTGACTAGCAAGACCCTCCCTTGTTAAGAAAAGTCTTCCACAATTATAGCACGGGATTTCATGACCACTGCTGTCAACATTTGTGTTTGGTCTGTTTCTTCTCAGACGCCCAGCTCTCATCCATTCTGCAATCATTTCTTCCTTTATTCTCATTCCCTTCCTGGTGTGCTCCCTCCACGCATCACGGCCAATGGCATTGTGTTCCCACGAGTCCACCTTAGTACCTGTACCATTCATGTCCTACTTGCACATATCTTTATATCGTAGTAGAAGTCGGCCTCGACATCTTCTACCAGTCTTTAAATCATCATAGAGGATGTCCTTAGGAACGCTGTCATCCTCCATGCTGCAGATGTGACTCTCAGGCAGATGCACTCTAACTTCGAAGGAATCTCCTAATTAGTCGACACTTACGACCTGCTTTTTGGGTTATTTTGTTGTTGAAAGTTTCGCATACACTATCAATATCATTTCTCGTTATGCCTAGTGGCACATGAGGCTTCAGAGAGGACTTTCCATGCTTTCCTGTCCTGTGCAATCTTCAGTGCAGTTTTCCATGTCAAAGATGCCGCACTCAGGTCACTTTCCATCGTTCGTCTCCATGTTGTTTTTGGGCGCCCCCATTTTCTCTTTCCCTCTGGTGTTCATGTGAGAGCTGTATTGGCAGGTATATCAGAAGTCATTCTCATAACGTGGCCAAGCCATTTCCATCTTCTCTTGGTAATCATATTGTCTAAAGTTTCTTGGTTTGTGACTTGAAGTAGTTTAGTGTTTGAGATTGTATCTGGCCAGAAAATTTTGATAATTTTACGTAGACATGTGTGGTGGAAGGTGGACAGCTTGTGTGCATCCTTTTTGGTCATTATCCAGCATTCCGCTCCATAAAGAAGAACTGGCAAAATGATGCTCTTGTAGAGTCGGAGTTTCGTTCCTCTGCAGCAATTGTTGGATTTCCAGATTTGCCTCATCATTCCAAAAGCAGCTCTAGCTTTGTTCAGACGTGACTGTGTGTCTTCCTCTGTCCCTCCCAGTAGGGACACCACACTGCCAAGATATGTCGCATACACTATGCCTCAATGTATTCAAAGTTAATAAACAGTGACGACTGCAATTAAACTAATATTAAAGTGAAGACATAATTTATATTATAAAACATGTTTTAAAAACCCGAAGATACGAAACTTTCCCAGGTCCTAGCTACACTCAACATGTCAACATAAAATGTCGGACGAGGATTATGCGCGAAAATTGCAAGAGCAGGTGACAGCTTCAGACCTTTTATTACTGAGCCTTTATTGAAGGGGTAATTAAAGTCATTATCTGTGAATGTAGGACGGGGAGTTTATGTAGACGAAACGCACAGGCTATTCTTTCACGTTCATAATAAATGTGATTGCAGGTGAAAAAACCGAAACGCTAGCTCCCATTTGCAAATGATTTGCTTACTGATGAGTAAGTTACTCTTGCAGGTACTGACTGCTGAGGTAGTGAGCAATAATAGGAAACTTAGTAGTAACTTGGTTTGAGTCGTAAAGTAGAAGCAGATAACAGTTAATACAAATGCACATTCTGAATTTACTCGTGAGTTCCTATCCCCCCCCCCCCCAACCCCAAATGCCGGTGTGTTGGGAAATGAGCAGGCAGATAGACTAGCTACTTCAGTAAAATTTTCAAAATGCCCTCTACACCCAATAAAACCAGCACAGTTAGATAGCTGTAAACAATTTCTTTCCAATAGTACCTCATTTAGGCTTGTATGTCATTTCTGAGCTGAGATATGTAGGTTTTTGTGGAGATGAGATGTAAGAAACAGCCGCTAAACTAAAACTTGTGACCCAGAAACAAGAAGTTTTTTTCTGCGCAACCTACTGCGCAGTTCTGTATCAGCTTTGTTGACATTGGACTGTCATTGGACAAGATGGCAGGCAATGAGACACAGCCACTGGCTGAGCCAGCGATTGCCTGAAAAATGTCACTGTACATCTACCTAGCCACCGTTCAGAAAGAAATTTTATACACAAATGTAAAATTGGATGGAGAATTCAATTATAACTAGCATTACCAGGACGAGTAACAGTTAAAGCCTAAAGCCAACCTCGAATTTACCGCTATTTTCAATCAAACTGATGACTGACAGAAAAACAGATGACGTCCGGCTGTCGTAGACATGCGCTGTTAATCGGGTTCCCTCCCGCTGTTTTCAGCTATTTATAGCTGGTCCAAATTCCCACCAATGGCAAAATTTCATGAGAGATTTGGACCCATCCGGAAACCAGCCGAGATTTCCAGAAACAAGTTGCGAACGGTTTCCGGGCTAGATAGACTGGCCGGTTCAGCACCACTTGGCGGTGAACTGATGATGTATGACAAGCTGGATGGGCTGTCCTCCGAATAATAGTCCCAAATTTTCGAGGCCGCAAATATATCCTAACAGGGCCTCAGTCATGTGTCAATTGCCCACTTCCAGGGACTATACCGCCACCGCCGAGGCAGCATGGATTGGGGCTAAACTAGATGGCTGAGACTCACTAGCAAATAAAATAAAGGAAGCTGCAGGAGATGCGGTAGCTGCTGCCTGTGAGTCCTAGCCGTCTAGTTTAGCTAAATTATCGCCAATAGGTTTGTCACTTAGATATCAATCATAATATCAAGACTGTTGTCACCATCTTCCAGAGATTCATCAACGACAGAGCAGTAGGAACAGTTCTAGACCTTTTCCCTCATCATTTAGTATAGAAAAATCATATCATAATTGGGCACTCTTCCGAATAACGGTCCCTTATTATTGACTGTTCAAAACATCCCTTTTAGAGCCTCAAGGGGTTATAAAGAGGTCAAGGGGTTATAAAGAGGTTATACAAAATATGGAACAATACGTACTAATAATGCCGTGAAATAATTGAGGCCATCATCATCAGTTTCCACATCTGCGCGTTAAGCGCCGTGGGGAGAAATAGTTTTCGATCCACTGAAGTGACGTGGGGAGGAATAGTTTTCGACTGGCGACTAGTCTGATAGGGATAAATTCTAAAGCCAGTTAACTGGCGACTAGTCTGATAGGGATAAATTCTAAAGCCAGTTAACTGGCGACTAGTCTGATAGGGATAAATTCTAAAGCCAGTTAACTGGCGACTAGTCTGATAGGGATAAATTCTAAAGCCAGTTAACTGGCGACTAGTCTGATAGGGATAAATTCTAAAGCCAGTTAACTGGCGACTAGTCTGATAGGGATAAATTCTAAAGCCAGTTGACTGGCGACTAGTCTGATAGGGATAAATTCTAAAGCCAGTTAACTGGCGACTAGTCTGAAAGGGATAAATTCTAAAGCCAGTTAACAGGCGACTAGTCTTCAAAGAGTTAAGGATGGAGGACTCTCATGTGGGGGATGTGGGTTCGAAACCTCGGTAAGGTTGTGGTTTTTTCGTTGGGAAAAAATAGAACCCTAACCTGCACAGTGCAAGGCAACAGCGCTACGAGCCATGCAGACCTAAATCCTCAGGTTAAATGACCCTCCCCGCACCCCTCCTCCTCCCTTTCCTCCTCCCTCTCCTACACATCAGAAGTGGTAAATATAGGCAGTTAGGTTAGTTGTGTATCCTTTACAGGACGTCGCAGAACCAACCCCAACAGCGTCTGGCTGTTGTGTTTTTTCTAGGCAAATTTACGTCCAGTAGTTTGCCATTGCTTTCTGGACGGTCGGATTTCTTGATACCACTGTCGAAACCAGCGCAAGGCGCATGGTCCGCAGCTGGGATCGAACCCGGCATCCTGGCATTACAAAGCGTTTGTATGGACTTAGCCACAGAGTCGACACATGTAGGCAGTAGTGGCAGTTATAACTCCACTGGGGGTTTATGTGTATATGTGTAACTCTGTAGTAACTCACCAGACGAGATACAGCGAAATATGCCTAGCAATAAATTATGCAATGTATTGTTTGTGTCCGCATTATTTAAAGTTTATGTTTATTCGACGGATCAACATCATGGCACACGGGTGTAACCCATAGGTACTCCATTTTACTTCTGACTCAAGCATGAATCTGAAGAATCTCAGCACAGTGCATGAACTCCGTAGCACCGGCAAGGATCCTGAAATACTTTGGGTAGATTTTAAACTCTAAATTTTGCCCAGGCAGCGCCGTTAGGCTACTCTTGTAAATTTCCAACTGCTAAGGGATTTTTTACGTGCGCAAGAATACACACGAGCGTCTGATCTTACTACCCACAGACCACGGGAAATTACTAAAAGTAATAGGAGTGGAGCAACCATGGAGTGACCCTTTTGCTATGAAGCTGAAACTCAGATTACCAGATTACCAGACTAGAAGTAGACCTGAAAAAATCCCAGCCTTCACCGGGGCTTGAATCCGGGACCTCAAGCACTCAAGGCGAACACCATAACTTGAGACCACTCAGCCCCCTCTATTGGGTATCAAGGGCAGAAGAATAATTCACACTGTGTTGTAGAGAGAAGACAGATACAACTTGTACAGCAACAGTAAATAGTACATGAACATACCAGGCTTATTATAACAATTTCATTATTTGGTCTCTTCATGACATTTCAGTTTGACAGAGAAGCTAAAGAATACGATACAATGCAGAAGAGTGACCTTGCTCTTGCACGCCACGTGGCAAAGGCTCACTCCATCTCAGATTCGGAGGACTCGGATTCAGCGACAAGTCCAAACAATACATCCAGTCTGGATGGCTCTGTGGATTTGTTTGGTGAGAGCGGAGATGGAGGTAGGTTGCCAGTTTGTCCGCTTGGTTTTTAAAAGCATAGCTGTAATTACAGTAACAGTAAATTAAAGGACCCTTTTAGTGACACCTGACATATTGGTTATATGTGGCAGGACCATATGTTAAGTCAAATCGGCACATAAATATATAATATTGCTGCCTTTACTTCCTTTATTTAGTAAATGTATTCATGTCCTGACCCAATCAATGCACAGGCATGAACACAGCCAGTTATGTTAACTATACATCTCAAAAGACATAATTAGAAAAGTCGGTAAAGTGACTTCTGTGGGGAATTGGACCCTCCTGTAAGTGTCAGTTTGTGGCTACTCGGTTGAGGATCAAGGGGACAGAGTGAAACATACTGTGAAAGGTATGCTCCCAGTAGAGTAGCAAGCATCACTTCCTAGGTCCCAGGTAGACATCACCCTTTGCATCCACCCTTTTCCCAAGACATTCATGTGTGTTCAAAAATGAACAGGCAGTCAGATTGGCTGGTTCTACCCCACTTGGTGATAAACTGGTGTGTGACCAGCTAGATTTGGTTAGGCTTCTTGGGAGCAAGTGAGCTGTGCAGATGCACAAGTTGGTAATCATGGTCTGAAGATAGGGCTGCAGCAGGGAGTCACACAGGGGATCTGTTTGTCACTCAGCACTCATAGAAAAGGCAAGATAGACTGCTATCGGTACCATTGGAATTGGAACTATGTATTAGCTGCTAAAGATGGGGAATGAGAGATTATGAGAATGTCCCGAGTGTAGTGATGTCGGTTTTTAACTCAGCTTAATGTAATCTTAGTTGAGGTTTCAACCTCACTTTGGTCAGGTCACCACACACTAGTTCCGTTCCTGTGTCAGTGAAAATCAAATGAAATCTCCCTCACTGTCTGATTTGAAAAAAAATGGTGAACAAATGGTTAGTCCCGGCACAATCCATAAATGTATGCAGGCAGCAAATGCATAAGGCAGTTGCTAGAGGTGCCAGAGCCAACAGTCACCACCAGAAATGCAGTTTGCCATTGATGGAAGTAGCTGGTCACGATAAATTAGCTATATATGCATAACATTATTACATAAGTACTTCGCCAGCCCACACATAAACTGGCTACTGGCCATTGATTACCAAACACTGCACAAATGAAAGGCATTCTACCTGAAAACACAGCTCACAGTGCTGCACTAAGTACTTCACTCAGCTGTTACAAACAGTAGTGTTTATTTAAATTAATTTTTCAATTTTGTTCCAGCAAAGTCTTTGAGTCCCCAACATTCCTTGATCAGCCAAGGTAAAAAAAATTCACACACGAAGCAAACAGACAGCAGTTCCGACATCTATGAAGCAGACACAGATGTGGATGACAAGAGTGACCCAGAAACAGAAGCCAAAAGCAAGCCTGTTTGTAAATATGGAAGCAAGTGCTACAGGAAAAACCCATCCCACTTAAAGGAATTCTGTCACCCTGGTAAGTGTTTGGCTGATGAATTTCATTTGAGTGTGTGGGGGTGGGGAGTTGGTGCCAGTTGTGTAAGAGTGGTGAAGAAATAAGAGAAATATCTGGGTAACCACGCATAGCAGCGGTTTTAAGAAAAAGAAGATGGCAATGTATTGGACACAACCTGAGAAGAAAGCAGAGAATCACCAAATGGGCACTCAAATAGGAAATACAGAATAGAGGAAGCAAGTACACCCAAACGAAACCCTAAAACAAACATTAATAAGAGAGGCCAAACGTACCAGACTGAATTCGATTCATGCTATTGCAAGGATTGTACAGGATGGGAGGGAATAAAGGAATAGATTGCGAGAGCGATGTGATATATAATGGTATAACAGGACAATAATGATATTGATGCTCATGTGAAATTATCACAAGTTTTCCTGATGACAGGGAATATGATTAGCAAGACCCGCCCACATTTAGAAAATGCTTCCATAACTAGCGCACAAGTTGTGTTAGGCCAAATTGTGCAGAATTGCAGCTTAGCTGTAAACCACAATACAGCATGTCAACCAGCAATTTAAAGCTGAATACAGAAGAAGAAGATAAGCATGGGATTTCAGGACCATTGATGTCATTGTATACATTGAACATATTTCTGAAATACCCAGCATTCAGCCTGTGGGAAAACAAATGTTTTCATTTTTTTTTCCTGATTCCCTTCCTGATTTACCCCCTCCCTGCATGCAGCATGGTCCAGCTTATAGGAATGATGTAATGATTTGTACATTCATTGGTGAAATCGTCTCTTTTAATTCACTTGTTTACTTACAGGAAGGTCTTGATTTCTTCTTCTCCTGCAATTGCTCTTAACCCTTTTGTCCTGTAAAAATCTTTAAGAAAATTACACTGTTTCAAATTTTATTTTTACGGAATCACATTGTAGTAATTTTACTGAGATTCTACTCTAAGAAACTAGGTGAAGAGAATAAGAATCAGAAAAAAATTAAGGAGTCTTGGTCAGTTTTAATAAAATCCAGAGGTTGAAACCTGTGACCACCAAGCAGACTGGCAAGCATGCAAGCTGTTGCGTCATTGAGGCCCCAAATTTACTTTAAAGATGCATTTTTCATATTTAGAGTCTCTATTTTGTGCAGTGATGATTTAAAAAAAAAAATTATATTAAGGGAAATAATCACTAAATACAAATGGAGCACAGAAATATTTACCTCTCTTTGACCCAGAAAACAAAGGTTGTGTTGACATTGTCACAGAGAACAAAGTGAAATCATCATAAGTTTATTAGCTTGTCACAGTAACCCTACGATTGATGTTTTCCCTGCAAATAATGTGTCCAAATTTGTATTCCTAAATATACCCACCATGTTTTCACACTATGTTGCTGCAGCCAGTACCAAAGCTGTTGTATAGGCACATTTAGTCGTCCACATGTAGGATACAATTTTTTTGTTATTTGAAGCCCCAATCTGGATACTGCCGGGCGCCCTGAATATAGCCGTGCCATAAATATGGCCTAGCCGTAGATGTGGCCTAACGGCTGAAAGGGGTTTCTGGGACCTCTCCATGGGTGATCTTCATCGGCATGGTGGCACTTGGTGTCACCGGGTGTTTATCGCTTGTGTGATGTCCTGGTGGGGTACAACTACCTACCACAGGCACATTGGCCACTGCCCAAAGACATCTGTCATCAGCAACCTGTACAAGTCAGAAAACTGGCTGTCTCGGGGTGACAGGATTCAAAGGACAGTTGGCATGTTTGGCATATTGTGTTATTTTTTACAGCTAGGCTGACTCATTTGTATGCAGACTGTTGGTTCCATGCCTCTCAGGCAGATGCACTCTTACTTCGAAGGAATCTCTCAATTAGTCAGCTCTTACGACATGCTTGAGGGTAGGCAGTGGGTCTGTTCTTGTTTTCCCTGTAATAGGGCCCCGGAACCCACACAGGAAAAATTGGAATTTGAAACAAGAAGGTGTGAGCGAGATAAGTTTATCAATGAATGACAAGGCCTCAGTAAATGTTTTTTCGTGTTTTTGTTTTTTGTTTCAAGTATTTGAAAATGACTGTGGTGGTCTTCTTAATATATAGAGAGGATCAGCAATGGCGATATCAGGACAAGTTGGCACAGAATCTGCAAAATAACTATAAAAAAAACTATATAAACTATATTAAGAGACAACAGGTCAGTGGTTTGGTGATGTGTCAAGACTGCGACAGGATAGAGCACCACAGAGTGCCATGTCACTTGCACACAACAGAAGCAGAGCTAGAAATCTGATGTGTGGTAATATTAAAAATACGGTAGAAATCATCAAACAATTTATGAAGGCAATACAAGAAAAACAAACTTGTTTTTCTCGTGAATGAATGTTTTAAGAAGGACTGAAAAATCCGGAATGTTTATGTTCATCCTTAGACTTCTTTTATACTGTGGTGCGACACTTTTTGATAACCTCTACTAAAATACGAAACCTTTAGACAATCACTTGTATTTCTTTCACACATTAATGATGTTCTTGGGCTTATGTCGGCATGCAATCTGTTCAAAATGGTTTTTTTAAAATAGGTAAGCGGAAGGGCAGTGAAGGAGCAGCTTGTGAAATACAAAACAAAAAGGTCAAAGGCAGCAAAGATGAAAAAACACCTTTGGATGTTTTCAACGAGTTTCAGCCTATCAGTTTTTTTCTGACCAAAGTTCACGACATTCCAAGCAGGTTCAACACAACTGGTGCCATGAGTTTGAAAGGTGAGGTCATTTGTTGTCTCAGGTCAGAAAGCAAAGTTGTGATCTGTGTAGTTTTTGTGAAAATTTATGCTCAGATGCACAAATACTACTAATTTGTATTCAGGAGTATGTTATGTTATGTTATCACAATTGACATCGCTGTACATTGTGCATTCACATGTGTGCTCAGTCCTCCGATGCAGCAGCAACTTCAGAGTACTTCTACTAATTGTTCCCATGAGAAGCTGGTTATATTGTCTCCTATCTCGGCCTTGAAGACGGCATAGATGTGCTTCACCATGCTTTACTCCCATGTCACGCAGTCGTGTTAATGTCAGGGATTCCTCATTATCCACTAGCCCAGTCCGTACAGTGGTGACAATATCTGCTCTGTCCATGCTTTTTCCCACATGCCTTAGTGCAATGCTTCAGGAGTATGCAGAGTGATTGACAGAAGAAGTGATTGAACAATGCAATCTCGATTGTTCCAACCTCAATGAAGACAAAGCTGTATGGTGGACAGGAAGCTATTTACTGCATGATAGCTTTCATCAAGGCTGCCAGCTTCCTAATGTAACTTTAGATCGAATGGATCCACATAGAAAAAAGAAAAAGAAGATGAATGCAAAGAGAAGATCATTATTGACATAGTTTTGTCATTTTCTGCAGTTCATCTCAAATCTTAGTTCCAGTTTCAAATGTTAACTTGATTGTTGACTTCAGTAGATTTTAGGTGATACATTTAGCATTTATGTTTTTGGTATGTTTGAATCTCCATTCCAGATTTGTCCTGGCTGCAAATTTTTTTTGGGGGGGGGGGGGGGGGGGGGGGGGGGGGGCGCTAGTTAATGATGAAACAGCTTTGAGGAAGACAGGAAGAGAAAAATGTTGACAGCTTTTCATCATGTCATGGAAAGAGAATACAAGCACAACATGATAAAGGTAAACGGGTAATCAGTCGAGCTCCCAGTTCATCGCAAACGGGTACCCCCCCCCTCCATAATTGCTCTGTGCCCATTAAAACCATACAAAATGCCCATTACTGTCCTTGTGACAAGTCAGACAGACAACAGTCCTGGTAGATTTCAATAGTTTGTATGAACATCAAATGCAAAAGGCAGCCACCAGAGGTATAAAGATCTCAGTTATTAGAATTACTATTCATAGTTGATATAAGCAACAGCCACAACAGACCAGCAGGTGCACATGTATTACTGCATAAAGCACACTGCCAGTTCTGTGGCAACAAGCCACTCACCATTTTCTTGATATGTAGTTTACAACACAAAGTGGTAAGAGGGTGCAAAAAACCGCATTTAGATCATATTGTCAAGACACCAGTGCTGATAGTAAATTCTGTGGCAGGCTGTGGAGAGATCTGATTCTGTGAAATACCTGGGTATACGATTGTTTATAGATTCCTAACATTTAAAGAATACATAGACCACATTCTAAGCAAAGCCAAGAAAAGTCTTTGTGGAGCTACTGAGGAGGAGATCAGAGCACCTATGGATCTGTCAAGAATGCCGTGATGTGATCATCATTGTTATCAGTTTCCACTTTTGCTGTTAACATTGTTGAGAGGAACAGTTTGCGATCCACAGCTTGATGGGTAGCAATGGCCATTGTCATTCAGTGTCAATGTTAAAGGTCTTTAATGTCATCAATCCATCTTCTCCTTAGGTGACCTCTTTCTTTCTAATCAGATCTTTCTTATGTGTAGTGCCTGTGTTGGTAGTTGTTCTGGCTGCATCTAACGAGATGATCAAACCATTTGTTCTTCTGTTTTGTCAATGAAACCGGCTAAGGTGTTGTTCCCACAGCCTGTCTGATGTCATTTCTCACTTTGTCTCAGACAGGTAAGGGGGAGGCTTCCCTTATTATAATCTTCACTAATCACATCTTATGAGAGCTGCTGTGGTGTGGCGGCTAGACACTGACCTGCGGATCCGAAGGCCAGGGGTCCACATCCGAACGGAGCCATACTTTAAAAAAAATAGCCTTGCCTTCCAGGTCGACCCAGCCTTAAATGGGTAGCAGGTAAAGTCCTGGAGTGTACAGGTGGCTAGTGTGATGCTGACCCCATCACCCACCGAATGCTGACCCCATTGCCCACCAAATGCTGACCGCATCACCCACCGAATGCTGACCCCATCACCCACTGAATGCTGACCCCATCACCCACCTAATGCTGACCCCATCACCCACCTAATGCTGACCCCATCACCCACCAAATGCTGACCCCATCACACACTGAATGCTGACCCCATCACCCACCGAATGCTGACCCCATCACCCACCGAATGCTGACCCCATCACCCACCGAATGCTGACCCCATCACCAACAGAATGCTGACCCCATCACCCACCAAATGCTGACCCCATCACCCACCGACTGCTGACTCCATCACCCACCGAATGCTGATCCCATCACCCACCGAATGCTGACCCCATCACCCACCGAATGCTGACCCCATCACCCACCGAATGCTGACCCCATCACCCACCGAATGCTGACCCCATCACCCACCGAATGCTGACCCCAAATGGCTGACCCCATCACCCACCGAATGCTGACCCCATCACCCACCAAATGCTGACCCCATCACCCCACCGAATGCTGACCCCATCACCCACCGAATGCTGACCCCCATCACCCACCGAATGCTGACCGCATCACCCACCGAATGCTGACCCCATCACCCACCGAATGCTGACCCCATCACCCACCGAATGCTGACCCCATCACCCACCGAATGCTGACCCCCATCACCCACCGAATGCTGACCCCATCACCCACCGAATGCTGACCCCATCACCCACCGAATGCTGACCCCATCACCCACCGAATGCTGACCCCATCACCCACCGAATGCTGACCCCATCACCCACCGAATGCTGACCCCATCACCCACCGAATGCTGACCCCATCACCCACCGAATGCTGACCCCATCACCCACCGAATGCTGACCCCATCACCCACTGAATGCTGACCGCATCACCCACCGAATGCTGATGGTCCATTAAATATAGGTCTAGCCCTTTATGCCCAATACACCTCAAAGTGTGGAAAAGAGTCCTTTACTTTCAATCACATCTTCAGAACTGATAGATAGACAACAAATCAAATGGTTTGGCCATGGAACAAGATTGGCATGAGACAGGTCACAGCAGAGAGCAATGTTATTCAGATGCAACAGTAACAGAGCCAGATGTCGACCACGCCGAAGATAGACTGCAGAAGTATCAGAGACACTGAAAAGTACTATATACAAAGCGAGCAGAAGGGCCATTCCAGAGATCTCTCCCTGCCCTGACACAGAGAGGCATTCCATGAGTAGAGAACAGAAGGGCCCGTTCCAGAGATCTCTCCCTGCCCTGACACAGAGAGGCATTCCATGAGTAGAGAACAGAAGGGCCCGTTCCAGAGATCTCTCCCTGCCCTGACACAGAGAGGCATTCCATGAGTAGAGAACAGAAGGGCCCGTTCCAGAGATCTCTCCCTGCCCTGACACAGAGAAGCATTCCATGAGTAGAGAGCAGAAGGGCCCGTTCCAGAGATCTCTCCCTGCCCTGACACAGAGAGGCATTCCATGAGTAGAGAACAGAAGGGCCCGTTCCAGAGATCTCTCCCTGCCCTGACACAGAGAAGCATTCCATGAGTAGAGAGCAGAAGGGCCCGTTCCAGACATCTCTCCTTGCCCTGACACAGGCATTCCATGAGTAGAGAACAGAAGGGCCCGTTCCAGAGATCTCTCCTTGCCCTGACACAGAGAGGCATTCCATGAGTAGAGAACAGAAGGGCCCGTTCCAGAGATCTCTCCTTGCCCTGACACAGAGAGGCATTCCATGAGTAGAGAACAGAAGGGCCCGTTCCAGAGATATCTCCTTGCCCTGACACAGAGAGGCATTCCATGAGTAGAGAACAGAAGGGCCCGTTCCAGAGATCTCTCCTTGCCCTGACACAGAGAGGCATTCCATGAGTAGAGAACAGAAGGGCCCGTTCCAGAGATCTCTCCTTGCCCTCAGGCAGAGAGGCATTCCATGAAGAGAAAGAGGAAGAAGAAGTTCTGGAGGATGGTAGCTGTGAATAAGTATGTTGGCGAGCCACGTGATGATGTTGAAACCAGGCAATTTTTATTTTACCCGCGTGTGAATTCTTGACTATTAATGGGAAATAAATTGCTTTCAGATATTTTGTCGAAGTCCATGGGAGAACTGAAAGAATCCTGCCACTTTAATTTCATGTTTGACATTCCCTGGCTGGTCAAGCAGTATCCTGAGGAGTATAGGTACATTGTTGTTGTTGTTATTGTTGTTGTTGTTGTTCATGCACTAACATTGGCCACTTACAGTCACTCACTATTTGCCAGCTAGATGCAAATTTAATTTAAAAAAAAATTAAAGGACATAAAAAAAAAATTCTTCCTAGATGAGGATTTTTTCTGTTTCTTCCTCCTCCTCCATCTTCTTCTTCTTCTTCTTCTTCTTCTTCTTCTTCTTCTTCTTCTTCTTCTTCTTCTTCTTCTTCTTCTTCTTCTTCATCATCATTCTCCTGTTCCTGTTCGTCTACTCCTCGTCCCTCTTCTTTTCCTCTTCCTTATCCACCTCCTTCTTTCATCTTCTTTTTCATCTTTTTACCTGATCTTCTTCATCTTCTTGTATTTCTTTCTTTCTTTAAAGAGCAGTTTATATGCTGCATTGTGGTTTACAGCTAGGCTGTATTGCTGCCTTTTTTCAGTCCAACACGTCTAATTCCGACAAACCCTTTCTGTAAGGGAAGTACCCTCCCCCTTTTCCAAATAATCTCAGTCCGAACCCTTATATGGTTGATGAGGATTTGAATCTCCTGCTTCTGGGAAGGTGAGTCAGGGACCAGCTAGCAAGATGGTCACAGGACAGTATGTACACAATATGTACACACTGTGTGCAGGAAATGCACAGAGCGTTGAATTATCGAAGAGTTAGTAGTCTTTTCAGCACAGAGCGTTGAATTATCGAAGGGTTAGTAGTCTTTTCAGCAGGCTGGTGTTACCAGGGGATCTGGCCAACGCTCAACACTCAAGAAAAAGGCGAGATGAATTTACAGTCAGGCAGTTATTGGTGCCATTGAAATTGGAACTCTTCACTTGCTGCCGAAGATGAGAACGGAGCGCTTATGTGAGTGTCCCGGGTGCTAGGATATCGATTCTTAATGCAACATTCAGTAGGCTGTGGACAGAGCAATATTCTGGTAATAATTTCCTTAATGATCATTTTTACACACAGGATATAAGGGACACCTTGGTCAAGAAAGTGTGTGAGGAGGGAACGAACAAATGAACAAGCTTTATTTCCAAAGGATCACAAATTGGGCACGCAGGCTCTTCTTACATTCGACACACATCTTTTACACAGCAGTTGTATTTCATCGATAATGCCTGTTATGTTCACATAGCAATATGCATTTTATTAACATCAAGAAAAAAACCCACAGGAGCATGGATAGTAAAATACACACATACACACGCACTCATCATCCACTTACACACAAACATATACACATACATGCATGTATACACACATACATACACATATATAGGTAAGGTCACTGTCCTTAATTGTGGCAAATATTTTGCTTCTGACAGTCGGTGGCAGTTGCATTTTCCTCAATTTTTAGACTGAAAGGATTTCGATTTGTCTCCCAGCTCCTAAGTGGAGCGTAGGCTCAACACCCTTATTTGCGGATTTTATTTGGAAGGTTTCTCAACTGTGACACCAATGTGGTGTGGTGAACTGTGAATTCAGCTGACGAGAGACAGTTTTGTTTGTTTTCAGGCAGACCGTAATGAGAGCAACGTTTTGTGAAGGACATGCTTCATAAGATGAGATCATATTTGTTTCCAGAAAATTATCAAACTCTCAAAGTTATGAAATTATCAAGGGTCCTTTTTAACAACATGCAGAAATCTATAATGTAACTATTTATGTCCCCTTGTGTGCCATTTATGTATCCCTTTGTTTTGCTCTCTATTTCTGTCTCCCAAACCTCGTTTCTTCTCTCTGTCTCCCTTTCCTGGACTCTTTCTCTACACTCTCTCTTCTTCTTCTGTGTTCGCCAGCTGTAAGCTCCAGTGGGAAGTCCTGGTTGTTCGTCCATTTGGATTTTGGCTTTGTGCTAAGACCTGAGTTTTGCATGTCCGTCCGTTTTACTGGCTTTTTGTGTGTGCAGTTGGTTGTTCTTTGCTGCTCGGGCAGATGCACTCTCTTTGAAGGAATACCCTCTCTCTAATAATCTGTAAATTGTGCTTGAATAACTGTATACCAAAATAAGAAGATGATTATCAGTGCTGCGTAACCGTTGATATCAACAGGAAGCTGCCGCTGCTGTTGGTTCATGGGGATCAAGGCAGGGACGAGCTGGGTATGAAAGCTGATGCCCAGCACTACTCTAATATCACATTTTGTAGAGTAGGTGGCTTTTTTTATGTTGATCTTTATGTCATTTAGAGCTTGTCGAGCTCATGGCTTTTTTTATGTTGATCTGTATGTTATTTAGAGCTTGTCGAGCTCATGGCTTTTTTTATGTTGATCTGTATGTTATTTAGAGCTTGTCGAGCTCATGGCTTTTTTTATGTTGATCTGTATGTTATTTAGAGCTTGTCGAGCTCATGACTTTTTTTATGTTGATCTGTATGTTATTTAGAGCTTGTCGAGCAGGTGGCTTTATTTATGGTTGATCTGTATGTTATTTAGAGCTTATATATGTCGAGTAAGTGGCTCTAGTTATTCTGACCTTTTTATGTTATTTGGAGATTGATTTGTATGGCTGTCTAAGGGATTGTGTACTCATTAGATTGTGTACTCATTAGATTGTGTACTCATTAGATTGTGTACTCATTAGATTGTGTACTCATTAGATTGTGTACTCATTGCATATTGTGTTCAAGAAAAATGTTAATACAAATAAAGGTTAAAGTCGAGAGGATCAACTTCGTTGAAACGGGTTTGAGCCCATGTGACTCGATGTCTCTCCTTTGAATGGCTAACCATAGCTCTGGCAATAATCCCCAGGGGTCGTCTTAAAAATTGCACTCATGAACTGAATGACAGAGCCGTGAAATGAACCAGCGACCTTCAGAGCGTGAGAAAAATGGCTTGACCACTTCAGGGATAGTGTACTGAAAGAGTGTACTGTGTACTGAATGGACAGTGTAGTCGGTGGCTAATTTGATCATTGAATATTACACTTAGTGGATAGTGCACTTAGTCGAAAGCGGTGCACTGAGTGGATAATGTTCTCAGTGGACAGTGCACTTTTTTTTGGAGACATTGCTTGGTGGACAGTCTACTCGGTGGCTAATGTGATTATTAACTTCTAACACAAAATGGATAGTGCACTCAGTGGATAGCAGTGCATTGTGTGGATAATGTACTCACTTAATCCAGCCTTTTAAATTCACTGGTGGAGATTTCTTAAATTGGGGATTTAGTCTTATAATTTTCAGCATAATGATAAACGTATACAGGTACTGTAACGGTGGTCGGAGTTAAATTCAGTGCAGACGTAAGATTATTTTTTCTTACCAGTCTAAAAGGAAATGGGTACCAGATACCCAATATGGGTTCCGGGGCCATTTTTTGGGGGAGAGAAAAATAGACCCATTGTGCCGCCTCTCTCCTCCAGTAAGCACGTCGTAAAAGTGTTAATTGGACTAATGGTAAAAAACAGGGCACTACACAATTTTCTTAATCTTCCGGAAATTGTCTAGAAATGTTACTTGTTTCTTGTCCATATTGACATCCAAGCACATTATTCTGACCCACTTGTGGTCCGTACTTCAATGCAGCAGTCATCTCAGTGTCTAGAAAAGAAAAATGAGGAAAGGAACTGTCCACCCCACCTTGTATGTCATTGTCTAGGACTGTGTTCTTCAGCCTGTCAGCCATGAAACAGTTTCCCATGTTTTGGTCACCATGAAACAGTTTCCCATGTTTTGGTCACCATGAAGCAGTTTCCCATGTTTTGGTCACCATGGAAGTTTCCCATGTTTTAGTCACCATGAAAGTTTCCCATATTTTGGTCACCATGAAAGTTTCCCATGTTTTGGTCACCATGAAAGTTTCCCATGTTTTGGTCACCATGAAACAATTTGCCATGTTTTGGTCACCATGAAACAATTTGCCATGTTTTGGTCACCATGAAACAATTTCCCATGTTTTGGTCACCATGAAACAGTTTCCCATATTTTGGTTTTGGTGGGCAAGGAAACAATTTCCCATGTTTTGGTGGCCCATGAAACAGTTTTCCATGTTTTGGTGGGCCATGAAACAGTTTCCTATGTTTTGGTGGGCCATGAAACAGTTTCCCATGTTTTGGTGGCCCATGAAACAGTTTCCTATGTTTTGGTGGGCCATGAAACAGTTTCCTATGTTTTGGTGGCCCATGAAACAGTTTCCCATGTTTTGGTGGCCCATGAAACAGTTTCCTATGTTTTGGTGGGCCATGAAACAGTTTCCTATGTTTTGTTGAGCAATGAAACAGTTTCCTATGTTTTGGTGAGCCATGAAACAGTTTCCTATGTTTTGGTGGGCCATGAAACAGTTTCCTATGTTTTGGTGGGCCATGAAACAGTTTCCTATGTTTTGGTGGGCCATGAAACAGTTTCCTATGTTTTGGTGGGCCATGAAACAGTTTCCTATGTTTTGGTGGGCCATGAAACAGTTTCCTATGTTTTAGTGGCCCATGAAACAGTTTCCTATGTTTTGGTGGGCCATGAAACAATTTTCCATGTTTTGGTGGCCCATGAAAGTTTGCCATGTTTTGGTGGGCCATGAAAGTTTCCCATGTTTTGGTGGGCCGCAGGTGTAAGAATGGTTGAGGAACACTGGATATGTAAAGTCTAATATTCACAGCTCCCATGTGACAGTAACTGTTAGGGGACAAGCTTTACTTACAGACATTGGTGACAAAAAGTTTAAGACCATCTAGTAAGTAATAGATTTCTCCATCCTGTTACAAAGTATTGCATCCACTGTTGTTTCAGAGCCCACCAAAGACAGACATTAAGACTCTTAAATAGCTATTATTGCAATACTTTATAATAGAGATAGAGTTTCAGCTTCTTGCAAACGGGTCACCCCATGTTGCCCCGCTCCTGTTCTACCGAAAAATACACAGAAGGTTCATCACTGTCCCTTGTGGAAAAATTGACACAGACTGCAGTCTCAATATATCCACCAGTATACACACCCATTAAAAGCACAAGGCAGCCATCAGAAGTTCTAACACAAAGTCTGACATTGGAAGCAGCAGTTACAAACAGATCAGCAGCTGCACACATGATTAGTTTTAATTACATAAGGCACCACCAATACTATGGCAACACACATGCTGTTTTCTGAATTCACAGTTTCCAACACCACATTGGTCACAGTTGAGAAACTTTTCAAATGAAATCTGCAGCTCACAGTGTCACGCCATGCACTCAGTTCAGTAGCTGGGAGACAAAACTGTATCCCTTCAGTCTACAAATGGAGGAAAATGCAACAGCCACCATTTGTTAGAAGCACAAAAGTTGCCACAACTAAGGACAGTGGCCATGCCTATCGTCCATTTTTAAATGTTTTGTAAATATCATTTATTTACTAGGTGATCTTAAACTTTTTGCCATTATTGTTGTGTAATTTTGGCTTAACATGTAATTATCATTCAGATCCTAATATCTGCTGTGTTTAATATTTTGATCAAATATTTGCAGGCACCTTTAGAAATACCATATGGGACTCATCATACGTAAGTGATGTTGATATCCTTGTGAATAAGTTTTTGTACAATCTTCTTTAATTTGTGTTTTGTGTGTGTTTGTGGGCAACCTGGGCAATAGGCATGTTTTGTTGTGATTTATAGCTAGGGTGTGATATCTGTGCCTTTCATTCGAGCACATCTGATTTCAGAGAACTCCTAATAAGTAATTATTTGTTACATGCTTCTTAAGTGGTGTGGATCAAATCTCTTCTCTCCCCCCCCCCCCCCTCCCCCCCTTTTCCTCCGGAGCACTGGAACCCACACAGGGACATTTTTTGTGGTGTCTTCTTCACTGGCTGTTAACTCGGGTGGAAGTTCTCGTTTATCTTCCACTTCTGGACTTTGGTCTTGTTCCAGAATTTGAGTTTTGCTTGCACATCTGTTTAACAGATCTTGCTTATTTGTTTGCAGACTGTTGGTTCTTCCCCTGTCAGGCTAATGCACTCGGACTTCGAGGAGAAATGTTCCTAATTCCTTAATTAATCACCTTTTATGATATGCTTTTTAGGGAGGCAGTAGGTCTGTTTTTTTTTCTCACCAAAATGGGGTCCCGGAACCCACAGAGGTCATGTTTTGTTTGTTTAACGTTAACATTTTGTATCAGACATTTCATAATACATTAAACAATAATGGATAACAATTGCTTCATTTTCTTGTCACTGTCTGGTTCAGTCAGCTTGTGGTTAGGTATGAATATATCCATTGTGACACCTTAGTAACTCAAAGATTGGGTCATACAATGAAAGAAGATGAGGGGTGAGTGGCTCAGAAGTATGTTCTTTGCCACATAATTTGAGAGAACCACATATGCAGAAAGCTATGGATATTGGTATGAGTTAACAGCCAATATACAAAAATATGTGGCATTCCCATAATGTTCTGTCCTTATCTTCAGCAGCCAGCATAGAGTTCCATTAGCAGTCTGATTATATTTGATGTCCATCTTACCTTATCTCGGGGTGTCGTCAGCAAAATCCCCTGGTCATTTCTTGCTGCATCATTCTCTCCAGACAATGATGAGCTGTTAACTCTTTGACATTATTCACATGCTGCTGAAGGGTCTTGACCACATTTTCCTTGTCATACATATCTATGGAGGTTTACAAAATAATCAACCTAAGGTTATTATACACATCCCAGGGTAGTGGATTGGACACCTAGTCTTGTCGGACGTAGCCAAAAACATTGCACAAAATGATTCTGTCAACTAAAATCACCCCTTTGACAGTTGGAAATCATAAACATTCAGATGAATAGGCTGTTGCTTCAGATACATTTCTAAATAATAACAACTCTCCACACAAATTGTATGTACATTAGATCATGGTTTATATGTACGTACAGTTAGATCCCTAATGGTGTGTAGCCAAGCCAGGTGGGCTCAGTTGTTTGCTGTGCTGTGAGCTGTGAAGTCTTAGGTTGTCAATTATTCTTTTGGTCAGTCTTCTTCCAGGTCTCCCTCTGCCTCTTGGTGCTTCCATTTTCATGTTATATACACTCTACTGACGGCAACATTGGATTCATTCTCACTAGGTGGCTGAACCATTTCAGTCTTTGTTTGTCAGTGAATGTAATTTTGGGTGTTATTCCAATAGCTTTTCTAATCTCTTCATTTTTCACACATTTATAATTTTGTTCATACTTACTTACTTGCTTAGTCGCTACTCTTTTACTTGGGGTGTAGAGGTTTGCCAGAGAGATCGTCAGACTTCTTTATCAGCAGTTTTCTTTTCGGCTTTGTTTCATTCGGGTCTTCTATCAGTTAGGGACTATCGGATGTTGTCTTCCCAGCGGCTCATCGGTCGCCCTGGAGGTCTGGTTCCCTGATTCTTAGCCTCCCTTGCCTGCCATGGTGGTCGATTTTCTCCCATTCTGCATACATCTCCAGACCATCGTAACTGTGACTGATCCACTCGGGTTTTTAAGGTCTGGGTATCAAGATTTTGACATATTGTCTGATTGCGCACTTTGTACCTTCTTGTCACTTGGACCACCTTTCTCAGGTATCTCATTTCTGAGGCCAAAAGTTGGTTTCTGTGCGATGTTGTCATTGCCTGTGACTCACATTCATAGGTCATGATTGCCCATAGAAAGAGCAGTAAACAGCCATTTTCATCCACTTGCCAATTTCTCTTTTGCTAAGAAACCCTTGGTTTATGGCCTGGAAAAGTCTCCCAGCAGCTGCTTTTTGAGTTTTTGTTCATAGCTCTTCTCAAACATTTCATTTCACAGGTGGTCAGTTCTCTCTCATGTTCTTTGGTCAGTGTTTAAGTCTCACACTGAAAATCTAAAACTGGAATAAAGATTGCATTTATAATTTGTCTTTTAATCGCTCTTGAAAAGCTGGGTTTGGGAAGATTGGGGTAAATTGTTGCGTAACATTGTTGGATTCTTGTCCATCAAATATAGAATACTAATTTGCAGTGTATATGGTGCTGTCTGCAGGAAGATGATGTTACTGTTGTACAGCAATGGTTTGAGGGTGGTAGTACACACAGCAAACCTCATTGAGAACGACTGGCACCAGAAAACACAAGGGTAAATTTCTGCACCATACAACAGTGTTCAGTATACGTAACATTTGTTGATTCTCATTTATATTGCATTGTTTATCTCTTTAGTTGTTAATAATTTTTTTGAAGATAGTTTTAGATTATTCTCTTTTGGATTCGATTCCTCCTGTCATCATGGGTTTCAAAATCATGGTTTTTAAAGGTAATATCATTCAGTCCGTCTAACAGTCTGAGCTTGCACAGTGAGAGAGAAGAATGGTGGCTTTCAAAAACTCCCCCTGTGTTTATCAGACAAGATTGGATTGTATCACTGAGCACTTTGTGGATGGCTGGCTTAAACTTTATCCTGATGCCGGGTCATGCGGTTGTTTAAGGCAGTGAGTGCGCAGATTATCTGACAGACACTGCAATATCTGACTGGTCCAGTACATCAATGTCTGTGCAGCACTTACCAGGAAGATGAATACAGCAAAGGGCGTGACTCCGTATCCCTGTCCAGGCTGATGATATTCCTTTCTAGTCGCTTTCAAAATGTGCTTACGTCAGTGTTTCCCAAACATTTCTTAGTCGCAGCGCTTTTTTTTCCAATGACAGTTTTTCCACGGCGTCCTAACCTGAGTAAAAGTATGGCTATTCGTAAGTAAGAAATGAAAAAAAAAAAACCAAAAAAAAACTCATGCATCATCGAATATTTTGCGGCACCCCCTTGAAGAGGTCGTGGCTCCCCAGGGTGCCGCGGCACACACTATGGGAATCACTAGCTTATGGCTTTAGATTACTCATGTGGTTGTCTAAGCAATGGAAGCTTTCTTGTGTAAATCCGTATCTCTGAGACCTCAGAGAGAGAGGCATACACACAAATTATGTGTGGTTATTACAGTTACATCATCTTTCATATCAACAGTCTAAACTATATTAGGCAAAAATTATTTTCCTGTTGTAAATATTGAATTAGGAATTAACATCACAGCACTCGGGACACTCACATAAGTGCTACATCCTTATCTTCAGCAGCATGCGAAGAGTTCCAATTCCGATGGTACCAGTAACTGTCTAATTGTATCTCTGTCTCGTCTTTCCCTTGAGTGTTGAGCGTCGGCTCGTTGGTTACTCCTCGCAGCGCTATTCTCCTCAGACTGTAATGATCTGTTTGTGCTTCCGCACTATTCACTCGCTCCTAAAGGGCCCTCACACCGTCAAGTTATGCACAACAAGCCAGACTATCTGCCTGCTCGTTTCCCAACACACCGGCATCACCTGGAAAAAAATATCCAAAGGATGCCAATTACTCGGAACCTCTGAAGCTATGCTTTCCTTCTACTCTGCACGGAGCATGCCCGTCTCCACTTTTCTCAACATGCACTGGGAGTCAGTTACGATGACAACATGTCTGTACAGCTGATTCTCAAGCCAGTGACTGCCTCCACCTCCATTCTCAAACTATAGGTTGTGATATCATATGCCAGGTTTTGCTGCATTAAGCGACGTCCATTTGTTTTTTCTTTGAACCCTCAGCCACTTCACCTGCCTCTCAACAACGAGCCAAATTTATCAATAATCACTGTGTGCCTTCTTCTCTCTCTCCATGTCCTCGTCTTCTACTCTTCTCACTCTCTCCCTTGCCACCTGAATGAAGATGGTATCAAGCACAGAGCACACACTCCATAGCTCCAGTGATGATTCTTGTTATTATTACATTTTCCTTTTGTAGACAGCAGTGTTAATAACATCTGTTAATCCTTTTCTGTCACTTTCTAAATATCGAAACTGACCGGCTTCAAGGGTGATCTTCTGCAATATCTCACAGCATACAGGTCGCCCAAACTGGCCCAATGGGAGAAGCACATACAGGCTCATGACATGGCGTCTGCAAAGTAAGTTTGGTTTTTCTGAACAGTTTCTGTTCTTCTTCGTAATGTTCTTTAGCTGTAATCTCCGGCTGAAAGTTCTGGTTGTATTGTTAACTTCTGGACTTTGGTTCTGTTCCAGAACTTTAGTTTTCTGTGCACATTCATTTTACAAAACTGGCTTATTTGTGTGCAGACTGATTTCTTGAATTTCAGGCAGATGCACTTTTAACTCAAAGGAAACATCCCTAATTAGATGCTTTGTATGACATTTTTCAGGAGGGAAAGGAAGTGTATCATGTTGAGTCAGTAATATAAACCTTTTTATTTAGAGCAGTATAGTTTTTTCTTTGTAGCAGTTGTTGAGTCAGTAATATAAACCGATTTATTTAGATCAGTATAGTTTTTTCTTTGTAGCAGTTGTTGAGTCAGTAACATAAACTGATTTATTTAGATCAGTATAGTTTTTTCTGTGTATCATTGTTGAGTCAGTAATATAAACCGATTTATTTAGATCAGTATAGTTTTTTCTTTGTAGCAGTTGTTGAGTCAGTAATATAAACCGATTTATTTAGATCAGTATAGTTTTTTCTGTGTATCATTGTTGAGTCAGTAATATAAACCCATTTATTTAGATCAGTATAGTTTTTTCTTTGTAGCAGTTGTTGAGTCAGTAATATAAACCGATTTATTTAGATCAGTATAGTTTTTTCTTTGTAGCAGTTGTTGAATCAGTAATATAAACCGATTTATTTCCATCAGTATAGTTTTTTCTTTATAGCAGTTGTTGAATCAGTAATATAAACAGATTTATTTAGATCAGTATAGTTTTTTCTTTGTAGCAGTTGTTGAGTCAGTAATATAGTAGTTGGGAGATGTGAACCAGCGTCATTGCACACGGTTATAAACCATAAGTGCTCTGCCACCAGTACGGACAGCTGATAAGAAACTGTCCGCCTGTGTCACCTTTCGCACGTAACTCTGTAGCTACAGCGACGTTGCTCCATTTACCCCAGAGTGTCAACTTTGGTACCCATTTCCTAGAGGCTGGGTGAACCCTGGGAGCCGCCCGGTTTCGTACACCGACCGCTGGCTGCAGCAAGTGGCAACTGGATTTGAAAGCGAGCTTTTTATTGACTGCGCTAACGCGGCCTCAAAGCGTAGCAGTTGTTGAGTCAGTAATATAAACCTATAATGTACATCAGTATGATTTTTTTCTGTGTATCGTTTGTTGAATCAGTAATATAAACCTGTTTATTCAACCTCCAGTGTGTTCATCATTGGTTCCGTGCCAGGCAGGCACACACTTGCCAGCAAACAGCTCTGGGGACATCTCAAGTTGAGGAAGGTCAGTGGGTCATGCTGAAGCAGTGTCAGTTTCTTTGCATTGTTCTCATGCGCAATTTAGAATTAATTTCATCAGTGCATTTAGATTTATCTCTTTGTTTCTTATTAAATCTGTGAAGTTGAGTTAAGAACTGACAGCACAGCACTCAGGGCATTCCCATAATTGAGCTGAGAACTGACAGCACAGCAGTGAGGACACTCCCATAATTGAGCTGAGAACTGACAGCACAGCACTGAGGACACTCCCATAATTGAGCTGAGAACTGACTTCACTGTACTAAGGACATTTCCATGTCTCTGTTCTCATTTTCATTAGCCAGCGAAGATGGAATTAATTTGTGAAGTAAAATTACATGTTTAAAAAAAAATGTAGGCTGTGTGGCAGGTAATGTCTTGCGTAATCCTTTCAGAACATCACCAGGTATCTTTGAACATCACCAGAAATCATTGAACATCACCAGGTATCATTGAACATCACCAGGTATCATTGAACATCACCAGAAATCATTGAACATCACCAGGTATCATTGAACATCACCAGTTACTATTGAATATACCAGGTTTTATTAAATAACACTAGGTATTATTGAACATCACCAGATATTGCATATCACTAAATATTATTGAACATCACTAGGTATTATTGAACATCACTAGGTATTATTGAACATCACTAGGTATAACTGAACATCACTAAGTATCATTGAACATCACCAGGTATAACTGAACATCACTAGGTATCATTGAACATCACCAGGTGTCTTTGAACATTGCCAGGTATCATTGAACATCACCAGATATCTTTGAACATCACCAGGTATCATTGAACATCACCAGCTGTCATTGAACATCACAAGGTGTCATTGAACATCACCAGGTATCTTTGAACATCGCAAGGTATCATTGAACATCACCAGGTAACTTTGAACATCACCAGGTATCTTTGAACATCACCAGGTACCATTGAACATCACCAGGTACCATTGAACATCACCAGGTGTCTTTGAACATCACTAGGTATCATGGAACATCACCAGGTATCTTTGAACATCACCAGGTATCTTTGAACATCACCAGGTATCATGGAACATCACCAGGTGTTATGATATTTCATTGTGTTTGTTTGCAGGTCCTATCCAGCCAAGGCCCAGATGGAGGGTTAGTGAAAAACTGGCCTGTGGTTGGTCAGTTCTCAAGTATTGGATCGTTAGGTCCAAACAAGGAAGCCTGGCTTCTGAGTGAATTGGGTCAGTCCTTGTGCGCTTGCAGGAATAGCTGTGTTGGATCTGCGTCTCCGTCAAAACTTCATCTGGTGAGTTCCAGCTTGTGCTGTTAGTGTTGCCATGGTTACATCATTGATGAACTTGCTACAGTGATGGTAATAGATCAGAGGTTGCAGCATCTCCCCTCCCCCCCCCCCCCCTTCCCCCTCCTCCAAAATGATTTGGTTCATTGTATAGTTGATCTTTACAAAATGAAAACAATTCTCTGTCTGTTTGTCTGTCTGTGTCTTTGTGTTTGTGTTTTTTCTTGATATTTATCATAAGCATATTGTTATATGAAAAAAAAAACATGCTTTATTGATAGAATATCACTGCTGTGTGAAAGTTGCGTGTTTAGAAGGGCCGCTGTAAGACGGGACTGCCTGTCTAATTTGTGGCCTTTGAAAATAAATTTTGTTTGTTCTCTCTCACTCTCTCCCCCCCTCTCTCTCTTTCACACACACACATTCTCTCCCTCCCCTTCACCTCTATCATGTGGTATCAGATCTAACTTCTACCCTTCTCTGTCTCTCGGACTCACACGACCTGTGAACATCTTGAGTCATTTGATAAATCCGCATTAGTTGGAAATGACAATGATTCTCTATTTAAAAATAAGAGGAGCCACTAACATGAAAAACTAAACTGTATAAAAATAATATTTGTAGTGTGCAGTGTGCTCTGCTAGGGGTATGTTTTGGTAAGCCACATTGCTTTCTGACGAACAGTAAGTTGTAACGACACAGCAAAAACAAACATTGAGTTGCGTGCTTTTATTTGGTGAAACACAACATAGCGTATGCATACATTCTCGCGTCCTCGTTTTCTTCTTGCATGGCTGGTTCTGGCGGCCTGGTCAAACTTCTCACACACTACATGAATCCATCAGTGTCTTTCGAATCATCCATCCATCCTTTACGAACCCTTGTACTCGGTATTAAGACATGTGGAAAACATTCATTCCTCCTCTCCAAATATACCAGTTGTTCACAATTCCTTCAATCTTCTCATGCGTCCATTCATACGACCTCTTGCTACCAGGTCCGAACTTCAACTGTCTTACTCCTGTCTCCCGGTTCACGTCTTCCGTTCCAATCTCATGCTTTTCTTGTATCACTTCGCTCACCATGGGATACACAAGACCCACTTATCTCGTTTTTCTCTTGTATCACTGGTCCTCCAACCTTGTCCTCCCCATCGGGAACTCTCTGGGATTTTCCCGCAACATTACATAGTGTGCATGATTGTGGTAGACACATTTTGTTCTTCTGAGTGTGTGTATGCTGTTGAGATTAGCCTTGTGTGTCGTGTTATTTCATTTCTCGAAGCTGAGAAAAGGGGAGACTGGTACACTCCAAGCAGAGTGGCAAGCCTCACTTAAGTAGATAGCATCTTTTGTATGTTTTCTATTGGGAAAAAAAACACAGGAAGGCAAAGACAGGTCCAAAGACAACTTGTAGAATGTCTATATTACTCCATATCCCACAGATTTTCCCGTCCAAAGACAACATCCGACTGAGTCTCGAGGGGTACAACGGAGGAGGCTGTGTGCCGTATAGCATCAAGACAGCATCCAAGCAGCCATGGTTAACTGAACTGTTCTGGTAAGTGAGGACATGTTTGTAGAAATCATTGCAGGACCACATTATCTCATTGTTTGATGTTTAGGTGTGTGATGTAATAACAGGCTGATAGATTAGCTGCTGCTGATCCTTTGGGTGGTGAGCTTTTTGTTTGTTATAAAGACGGATGTGGGGAAGCATCTCTGGGATCAAATGGACAGTGCATTAGAGCAGACAGAGAATCCATGCAGTGACAGACAAATTCAAGAGGGTAGAGTAGAGGTTCTGAAAGATATTCAACACTGAGGGGAAACATCGGCCGACTTTTTAATCTGGTTGTAACTGGTACTGTTAGCATGTCAACTTTTTATTGGCTACTGAAGAAGGGGATGTCCTGAATGCAGTGATGTCTATTGATTGATTGATTTATTCATTCATTCATTAGCGATAGCTACGTAAACACTCCTACTGGACAGTGGAGATATTCTGAAGACCGTATATGAACAAATGTTGACAGACGTGATGAGATTAGATGAAGTCACATGTGTAACAGTGTGTGAACGAGGAATTAGGTGTGGATCAGGTAAGGAGGAATGTATGAGAGGAAGAGATCGGCGTGTGTATAATCAGTGTGCTACGGGAACAGTTATCATCTACACCCTAAGACATTTGCTGCATGAGACGGAGCATCTATGGGTATGCCCAGTGTGGTATGATGTTGATTCTTAAATCAGTATGTTATCAGTATTCATTCATTCACCATGTCATCAGTCCCTGTTGACTGCTGTAGCCCTGTGGCCCTAAACCCTGATGCTCAAAACCTCCCTCCGCTACATCTCCCAAAACTGGTATATGCAGGCAGAAAAGGCAGAGGATAGAGAGGGATCACCAGGGACAAATCCTTTGCAGAATGTGAGGCCCTTCATGAGCCTCGATTAGAATCCATGTCGCTTGCTGATTTCTTTCTCTCCTGTATGAACATACTGAAGGTATCTCTAGTGTCCAGTGTCCATTTTCATACTGGTAGATCTGTGCCTTCTCCCTTGAACCTCGTTTCACAAATAAAATGATATCATATACAACAGGTTATTCAGTTTTGAGGTGATAGTTCATAGTTGTTCATTATTTAATGGAAGTGAAAATATGGTTTCTAAGGACAGTGCAAGAATACTATTAAATAAAATAAAAACACAGATGTAAATTGTAAATTGGTTAGAGAAATTACAAGCAGACAGAGAAGATTTTTGGGACCTACAATAAGGAGAAACTAAATTTGGAAAGTTAGTCGTTTTCTTCGTGTTCACTGGCTGTCAACTCTGATGGAAAGTTCTGGTTTTTGGACTTTAGTCTTATTCCAGAACTTGAGTTTTGCCTGCACAACCATTTTACAGATCTGGCTTTTTTGTATAGAGACTGTTGGTTCCTTGTCTCTCAGATAGAGACAGTCAAACATCAAAGGAAATATCCGGTATAAGTTAGTTGCTTTTTGCAACCTGCTTGTTAGTGCGACATTGGGTCTCTTCTCCCCCACAGTAGGGCCCTAGAACCCACACAGGAGAAAACTTAGTGACACCTGGCACATTTGTTGTAAGGAGAACAAGGTGAAAGCAAAGAGATAAATATCAGGATGGATTGTCTGCAGTTTTCCCCGTGTGGGTTTCAGGGCCCTGTTATAGGGACAACAAGAATAGACCTACTGCTGACCCAAAAGCATGTCGTAAGAGTTGGCTGATTGGGAGCTTCCTTCGAAGTCGGAGTGCATCTGCCTGAGAAGCAAGGAACCAACAATCTGCGTACATATTAGTCAGATCTGATAAACGGATGCACACGCAACACTCAGCTTCTGGAACAGGACTGCATTCCAGAAGTGGATGAACAACCAGAACTTTCCTCCGGAGTTTACAGCTGGTGAACGTGAAGAAGAAGAAGTCTACAGGTATTGACTGGACAAGAACAAAGACATAATCCATGTTTCTGGTGATTGTCTCAGGTGGTGAACCCTGACCTCTGACCTTGATTACATTTTATATTGTTTCTAATTTATAATTTTTCGATAGAATCCTTTTGATATTACAAAATATTGGCCCACAAAACTGTTTGAGCGTCTTCATGGGCTATCAAATAGAGTAGCATACATTTAAAAAAGGAAAAACTTAAATTTGTTGTTATAGTTTACAGTTTCAGCAGTCAATGAAAGACTGAAAGAAAAACAAGGAAAAAATTGAATAAAGATGAAGTGGAGGAGAAATAGCATGAAGTAGAAAGATTGTGAAAAGAAGATAATAAAATATTCATTATTAATAATGTAAAATTATCATTTGTAATAAATAATATAATCTTATGATATATTAAACATTTATGATTTAACTGTATTCACTCAGTCAGTGGGTGTCGGAGGGCAGAGGTCGGACCCGAGCTGTTCCACACATCAAAACCTACACTAGATTCTCACCTGATGGAAGCCAGGCTGCGTGGTTTCTGGTCAGCAGGTACGAGTCGACAATATTTGGGCCAGTTGTTTTCAACCTTTTTTTAGGTGGTCTCCCCCCCCCCCCCCCATCCCTTTTTTTATGGCAAGACCCCTAGGTGGCCCCTTCCCCAACCTTAAAAAAATATTTGATTAAAATGAGGAATGACAAGAACTGTGTTATCCAATTAATATGGTTTATAGTGGTTTATACAATGGATCAACTTGACACAAGGGTGTTCTACTTTTAACTCAAGCCTGAGTCTGAAGAATCTCAGCGCAGTGCACGAACTCCGTAGCACCGGCGAGGATCCTGAAAATACTTTTGGTAGATTTTTAACTCCAAATTTTGCAGCACCATTTGGCTTCTCTTTTCGATTTCCAACTGCCAAGGGATTTTGTTATGTGTGCAACAATACACACGGGCGTCCCATCTTACTACCCAGAGACCAGGGAAAATAGAAGTCCACATGGAAAAATCCTAGCCTTCACCAGGGTCTGAACCTGGGACCTCCAGCACTCAAAGCGGATTCCATGCTTTGAGACCACCCAGCCCTTCCCTTCCAACATATCCTATCCTATTTATCCTTATCCTATTAGATTTTTAAAGGTGGAAAAACAAACTGCTCATGAAAACCAAAACATTCTTGCCTTAAAAAAAATGTTAAATACATTTTTTAAAATTTATAATTAAACTGAAGAAAATGTTAGTATAACAGATTATTATAGTAGGAATACAGTGTTAGAACTTCTTGTTATCCCAGGTTAAGCAGTACTGATCTTCACAGATTCCCCTCTGATTTTTTAATTTATGTTTTGTTCCATCTATTTTCTGTCTATACATTTTAAGTTATTTTTCTTTAAAATAATTCTGTGGACAACTGATTTATTTTGTGTGTGTATAATTAGCACCTTAGATTACAGATAAATATGTTCCTTGCTGTTTGTTGCTCTGTTTAAATGTAAATTTGTTCTCTGCAAAATTATTTGGTCTGCTTACAGGAAGATTTTTCTCAGTATAGCAGTTGTACTGTTTGAGCAGATTTGTTTTTATGTAACTGCGTTCTGTGTATATGAAGTAATAATTGCAGCATAAAATGTGATTAGAAAGCTCAAGTGAGGGAATGGAAAAGACACACACAAATATAACCGAACATTTTAGCCAAAGTCTTTATCAACAGAGTACTAAATACAACACAGATTGTGACAAGAAAACTCAAAGGACAAGATGAAAGAACATAAAAACAACAAGATCAACATGAAATTAGGAAATACGTAAAAGGGGGAAATTTGGATGTGAAGAGCTTTACTACAAAATGAAATAAATAAAAAGGCATTTGAAAAAAAAGATTGGGGTGGGGGGTGAATAGACGTTAAATTCTATAAAATATTCCATTTATTCTGAATAAATGCATTTTGTATTTTAGCTGTCTCTGTAAGATGTGCATTTCTGTTGTTTTTTTTCCAGTGCAAATTTATCAAAAGCTGCCTGGGGTGTGTTGGAAAAGCAGGGAAGTCAGTTAATGATACGTTCGTACGAGCTTGGAGTGTTGTTTCTACCCCAGTTCTTTGTAAGTGCATTGGAACAGTTTTGAAAGCTATCCTTGCATTAAATAATCACTACGTTGGTTTTACTATGAGAGACTTTTCATATGTTAGGTTTAGGATTTGTTTGGAGGTGTGGGGAATAAAAGAAAGGAAGTCACGGCACTTAGGACATGCTTTTAGGTACTCTGTCTCCCTCAGTAAGTACTTGAGTGAAAGAATGCCAGACTCAGGTGTCACACTCAGCTGCATTCACATGTAACAGATCCATACATTTGACCTATAAGACTCCCTGTTTGGCTTCCGAGGATCCATTGTTGGGGAAAACAAGAGTAAATCCACTGCTCCCCAACAAGCATGACATAAGAGTCGACTAATTGGGGGGTTTCCTTCGAAGCTGGAGTGCATCTGCATAAGAGGCATACAAACATGTCAGATCTGTAAAAGGGATGTGCACACAACACCCAAGTTCTGAAATTAAAAACCAAAGTCCAGATGTGGACAAACAACCAGAACTGAGTTTACAGCCGGTGAATGTGGAGGAGGAGAAGAAGAAGACCTATAACACTAATTCTAGTAAGTTTGTTATGCTCCTTCTATCTGGTATATATTACAAACATAAAGTAAAGGACCCCTTTTTCAGGTCTTCATTGCATTGGACATCTATTGGTAGACCTATATTTTGTATAGACCAATTGGCATTTAATGGGTCATATGGTCAGCATCCCATGGGCCGCCTTTACTACCCATGACATTACCCAGTACCCAGTTTAGGCTGGGTTAGTCTGGGAGACAAGGTCAGTGTTTGAAGAAGAAAAAATGTTGCCCTGATGCAGAATCGAACGTTTGACCTTTGTACCTGCAGGAAAGTGTCTAGGAGTGATGCTACCCCCCCCCCCCCCCCCCCCACCTTTGGGTATATTGCTGCACATGAAGTGCCTTGCTGTGAGAGGTGCTTGCTTCGTTTAAATCCCTATGTGGGTTCAGGGTCTCATCTGGAAAGGGGGAGAGGGCGAGTAGACCCACCATCTCCTAACAAGCATGTTGTAAAAAAAAAAATGACTAATCAGGAATTTGTTGAAATTGAATTTGTTGGGTCGAAAAGCACTGATATCGCTGCCCAGCTGTAAACCACAATACGGTATGCCAGCTGCCCTTTTGGATCACCTTTTGGTGAGAGTGAAGCAGCGTGGAGTACGAGGGGATCTGGCCGAGACTCGACGCTCAGAGAAAAGCAAGACGGTCGTATAATAAGAATGCTACTGGCACCATTGGTATTGGAACTCTGTGCTGGCTGCTGACTATGAGAACAGAGTGCTTTGATGTCTCTTCTTGCATCAGCTGCCCTTTTAAGTGCGAACGCAGAAGGAGAAGTCTCAAGACTATGAAGATGTCGGGAAGCTCATGTTGACTGCTGCTTTCTTGAAGTATTCCTGTTGAGGTCTGAAATACAAGAGGGCTTCAACTGAGAACAAAATCAGAATATGAATGGCAGAATGCTGCTCCTCTTTGATGTGTGTCAAAATTGGGGTGGCCATCTTTAAACTGTCATCAAGATATCACTGTGTTTACACTGCTTAACACTCTTGACATCATTAACAACAATATTGACAGGTTATAAGACAGTGGCATGATTGTTATACTTTTGATCACACTTTTAACATTTTCATTGATGGCCCATCATATGTAAAAAGAAAAAGAAGCTTACTTAAATGGCCTTGTGTCTAAGTAAACTTCTCTTTTATCTGGCTGCTGTTTGATCTGTGTTTAGGGTTCCAAAAATGCCTTCCCTGTAACAAGCAGAGCTGAAGATGTTGCAGGAACAGACAAGCCACTGCTGCCTCTGCCGTACGATCTTCCACCAACATCATACGTCCGAGGAGGTTTGTTACCTTACATACTTTGAGTGAAGTGTGTTTGTGTGAGCTTGTGTGTGTTTTGTTAGTGGTACATCTGATTGGATATATTTCTTTGTCAGTTGCATGGTTGTCTACAAATGGTACTTTCCTTGTAGTGTACAGTTTCTTTTTTTGGCGTTCTTCTTCTTCTTCTTCTTCACTTCCTCTTTTACCGCTGTGGGTGTCGAGGGAGATATAAGGTTCTGTTTCTAGCTCTTCTGGCTGCCTCGACCATAGGCACATCGTGCTGTTGTAGAGTTTCTCTGATGTTATCCTTCCATCTTGTTCTTGGTCTACCCCGTGCTCTACGTTCTTCTTCTCTTTCCATGTATGCTTTGTATGGTATGGTGTCACAAGGCATTCTCTCTAAGTGGGCAAACCATTTCACTTGCTGTCTTTGTATGTAATCCAGAATTGGTTCTGTGCCGACTTGTTCTCTTATGATCTCATTCCTGATCTTATCTCTTTTGGTCACTCCTACAGCCCTTCTCAGACATCTCATTTCCATGGTTACTAATTTTCTTTTATGGTTTGTTGTGAGTGACCATGTCTGGCACTGGTAGCACAGAATTGGAATAAATATGCTTTGAATAAGATGTCTCTTTGTGCTGATTGGGATTGTCTTATGCTGTAAGAGGGGGGCTAGCTGTCCCAATACTTGGTTTGCTTTACTGCATCTAATGTCAATTTCTTTATCCAATTTCCCATCTTCGGTAAATGTAGTTCCCAGATATTTAAACTCAGACGCCTGTTTAATGCCTTTGTATTCTATTACTATGTTTAGATCTGACTTCTTTTTTCCTATTGACATTACTTCTGTCTTTTCAGTGTTGATTCTCATTCATGGGCTTGGCATTCATTTTGGCGTTCACCCGCAATAAATGATTGTGGAAGGTTCTGGTTGTTTATTTACTTCTGGACTTTGGTCTTTTTTCAGAACTTGAGTTTTATGTGCACATCCGTATTACAGATCTGGCTTAATTATATGCAGACCATTGGTTCCTTGCCTCTTGGGCAGATGCACTGCAACTTCAAAGGAAACGCCTTTAATTCGTTTCCTCCAGCGACATGCTTGTTGGGGGCAGTGGGCCTGTTTCCTCTCCATCTTCAAATAGGGCCTCAGAGCAGACAGGAGGCCTTCTGGTGTACAGATCTGCGGTTTAGAGATTAGTGAATGAATTTCACACTTTCCTAATCCTTGGGTACTAGTGTTTGGTTTCTGCTGTTCACAGTGAACTGAGATGTTCTTTCAGCTTTTGGACGGTGTTACGAGAGTTGTACTATGGAAGAAATAGGGGCATCACCATTTAATATTCCCAAACAGACCAACGGGTGCCCAGTAGCCAACCTTTGTAGCGGAGACAGTACATCATTTAAAACAAAAAGTTTCTTTCCAAAAACGTGCTCTTGCAAACCTAGGTACTGAGACTGAAACTGAACCAGAAACTTTAAGATCATGGGGCCCGTTGATTGACAACAGTCTTTGTTTGTAGTATGACTGCCTGCATGTTTCAGTGCTTTTAATGTGGCTGTTTATCTAAAATTTATATGAAAAATCTAGTATAATAATGACATATCTCATTTTTAAATTGTTATTATTTTTCTTATGATAGAATTATGTCAGGTGTCCATCAATTCCCATACACAGGAAAAATAAACCTACATCAGTGGTTGGATCAGCAGTTGCAAATGTTTGGATAGGTTAGTATGGTCATTTGGAGTGACCTCCCATTACAAGCAACCATTGACATAGCAATGTTAATTTTTTCCGATATATGATAAATTATCGAACACTCAACATATATGACTTTTGATGTTAACTTCTTACAAATATATTTTCAGCCAGTTTTATTTTTTGTTCGATGTGATAATTTTTAAAAATTTTCAGTTTTTACCCTGTTCTGTAATGTTAAGCCACATTTCAAAATGAATATTTCCAACTTGTCCCCAGATCGGCCCTGGTTCTGTGATGTTCCATGTATGGATCTGCCAGACTCTCACGGCACCATGTGGTGTCCACCGTTATAGCACCTGTGGGGTTCAGAAAAAAATACACACATGTGGGAAGGAAATTCATCATCATCATTCTGTTTTATCATCATCAGTATCAACTAGAGCTAATGAAACTGTCAGCATCAACTTCTGTTGTGGGTAATAGTCCCCACAGGGACTGCCCATATACACACTAGCTTACTTCCGAATGGTCGACCTTCAGCCTAGCTCACTTCTGATTGGTCGACTTTGAGCCACTCAACCTTGGCACAAGATGTCAGTGGTGTTCCCCAATGCCGTTGATATCGCGTCTTCTATATTTCAGCATTCCAGCGCCTTTATCACCACAAAAACATCGACAAACTGGGTCTAACACCCAACATCTCCAAGAGAGTGATGAAACCTATGTCACAGGCATTCTCTTTCTCAGAATAAAAAAGTAAACGTGAGACATCCCAGAAAGCAAATAACAGAGCGGCACACCCGCAACGTCCAGCAGGTTAGACCAGTCCAAGAAAGTTATCAGTGGAACGTGACCTACTTTCTGTGGGGAGACTAACGTTTGTTTGTCCCTATTGGTTTCACTGCATATTGGGCAATCCCATGCATGCTGAGTCCTCTGATGCAACAGTGACAACAAGGTACCTCTACTGGCTGATCCCATGAAGAGCTGGTTGTAGTGTCTCCTCTGTTGGCTTCAAAGGGGGCATAAGCGGGCTTCACCATGCTTTACTCCAGTGTCATGCAATCGTGTTAATGTCAGAGATTGTCATTATCCACTAGCCTAGTCTGTACAACATTGATGACGACTGCTTTCTCTGTGATTCCTTCCCGAAGCTTTTAGTGCATTGCTGGCCAGTTGGTCCACTCGCTCATTACCCTTTACTCCGCCATATCCAGTTGTGTAGGTCCAGGTGAGAGAGGTTAAGTGCAATTTCTGAACACTTTCTACCCATTCAGAGTACATACAACCAGTTGCAATTTCCTGAACCTTGTTCATGGAATCTGATACGATTACTGCATGTGTGACTGATATTAGGCATTCAGCTGTCACATCAGCTTCTAGCATCACTGCCATGTTATCACTGACATCATCAAGTGCCACTGACATCATCATCAAGTGCCACTGACATCATCATCAAGAGCCACTGACATCATCATCAAGTGCCACTGCCATCATCATCAAGTGCCAGTAGCTTAATCATTGTGTATTATCTCTGACATCATCATCAAGTGCCACTGACATCATCATCAAGTGCCACTGACATCATCATTGATTGCCAGTAGCTTAATCATTGTGTATTATCTCTGACATCATCATCATTCAGTGCTGCTGAAGTCATCACAGACATCCATCAGCTTCCCTGCTGGGCAGGTTTGGTGGCAGTAGATCCCCATCATGTGTCTGTCCTGGGTCTGGCTTTTACCTCCTTCTGCCATCCCTGTGTGGGTTCCAGAGCCTCATTTGGGGGAGGGGGGGGGGGGGAGAATAGACCCCCCCACCACCACCAAGCATGTTGTAAATGCTGAATAATTAGAGGTTTCTTTCAGAGTCGGAGTGCATCCACCTGAGAAGTGAGGGACCAACAGTCTACTTAGAAATAAGTCAGACTTATAAAATGGATGTGCAAGCAAAACACATCTCTTGAACGAAAGTCCACAAGTGGACAAACAACCAGAACTTTCTGTCAGAGTTTACAGCTGGTGAACATGAAGAAGATGACAAAATAATAAGTCAGACTTATAAAATGGATGTGCGAGCAAAACTCAATCTCTGGAACGAAAGTCCACAAGTAGACAAACAACCAGAACTTTCTGTCAGAGTTTACAGCTGGTGACCATAAAGAAGATGACAAAACATTCTGCCAGGTAGTAACCTGACTAAATCTGATGTTTTCTATCCAGTAATATCTTTGACATCCTCTGTCCTTCTTCCCCTTAACTTTTTTTTTCTATCATGTTTGGACAGGAGATGAGAAAATAGTCAATTTCAGCTCCATGTCTGTTACAAGCGTACATCTGAGGAAATCTGACCTGCTAGTCAAACCGTGACCATATGTGATACGAGGTTTCAGAAATTTGTGTGTGTGGGTACTCCTAGTATGTCTTGGGGAGTTGCCATGGCGTAGCAGCTAGACGCTCTTGTGCGGATCAGAAGGTCATGGGTTCACTCCCTGTCGGAGCCAGAATTTTCAAAAATGACCTTGACTCCCAGGTCAACCTAGCCATGAGTGGGTACCGGGTGCAGTCACGGGAAGTAAAGGTGGCCGGCATGATGCTGACCACATCACCCATCTTGTGCTGATTGGTTTTTACAAATATGGATCTAGCCCTATATGCCCAATACGCCTAAAGGCATGGAAAAGGGACCTTTACTTACTAGTTTGTCTTGCAGCTTGAGGGTCCCTTCTTCCTCTGCTCCAGAGGAGAATAGGATATCAACTAGCTGACCCCAGGTCATCCTTTCCTCTGCTGTCACATTCAGCTCATCTCATGTCCTCCCCATCTTTCTAATTTCACTTTCTAGCTCCCTGTGGTGGTCTGCCTTTGTTTCTATGTTTCCACTGTGAAGACATTGTAGTTATATTGTTCTCAGGTTTTTCAGCATGTGTCCTATTCAGAGCGAACATCTTTTCTTCCCCTCATCATTCACTGGAAGGTTTTCTCCCAACATTAGGGATTCTGTCATACCATTTCATTTCCTTTTCTATACAGGCACCAGTTAATCTGAGTATATGAGAAGCTCAAAATTATCTGGTATATAATTGTCATGCATAAATCTTGAGCCAAAAGTTTGTTGTTAGCCTAAAGTTTGTCGTTAGCCTAAAGTTTGTCGTTAGCCTAAAGTTAGTCTTGAGCCTAAAGTTTGTCGTTAGCCTAAAGTTAGTCTTGAGCCTAAAGTTTGTCGTTAGCCTAAAGTTAGTCTTGAGCCTAAAGTTTGTCGTTAGCCTAAAGTTAGTCTTGAGCCTAAAGTTTGTCGTTAGCCTAAAGTTAGTCTTGAGCCTAAAGTTTGTCATTAGCCTAAAGTTAGTCTTGAGCCTAAAGTTTGTTGTTAGCCTAAAGTTAGTCTTGAGCCTAAAGTTTGTTGTTAGCCTAAAGTTAGTCTTGAGCCTAAAGTTAGTCTTGAGCCTAAAGTTTGTCTTGAGCCTAAAGTTTGTCTTGAGCCTAAAGTAAGTCTTGAGCCTAAAGTAAGTCTTGAGCCTAAAGTTTGTCGTTAGCCTAAAGTTAGTCTTGAGCCTAAAGTTTGTCGTTAGCCTAAAGTTAGTCTTGAGCCTAAAGTTTGTCGTTAGCCTAAAGTTAGTCTTGAGCCTAAAGTTTGTCGTTAGCCTAAAGTTAGTCTTGAGCCTAAAGTTTGTCATTAGCCTAAAGTTAGTCTTGAGCCTAAAGTTTGTCATTAGCCTAAAGTTAGTCTTGAGCCTAAAGTTAGTCTTGAGCCTAAAGTTAGTCTTGAGCTCAGAATTAGTCTTGAGCCTAAAGTTAGTCTTGAGCCTAAAGTTAGTCTTGAGCCTAAAGTTAGTCTTGAGCTCAGAATTAGTCTTGAGCCTAAAGGATTGGATTGGATTGGATTTTTTACCCCACCAGGACATCACACAAGCGATAAACACCCGATGACACAAAGTGCCACCATGCGGATGAGGATCACCGTGGAGAGGTCCCAGAAACCGCGTTCAGACATTTGGCCATAATGATGACCTGCCTATATTGCGGCCCCTGGCAAAAGCCAGAGTGGGGCTTCAAATAACAAAAAATAACGTCCTAAGAAGGACGAAAAACAGTAATTTTAGAGCCTAAAGTTTGTCTTGAACCCAAAGTTTCAAGAATTATGTTGATTGGTGGTTGTGTTTGGTTTTTCTTTTTCCTCCATGTTGAACTCATTAACTAGATAATTTTGTTTCTAAGATCTTTTCTAAAACTTGTTTATTGCTTTTTTTGACTAAGAAAACAGTAATATTTTTGTCTCATGTCAATTACTTGATGCACCTGTATTTGCATGATGTGCATTGTGTTTATTGTCCTTTTGCTATTTTTATCTCCCTTTGCATGTTTTGCTTTTTAGGTGGTAGAGTCAATTTGAGGCATGGCGTCCGCCTCGAGTGCTAAAGGTCCTGGGTTCAGACCCTATGAAGGCTATGATTTTTTTCACGTCAACTTCTAGTAATTTCCCCTGTCTTCTGGGTAGTAAGATCGGACGCCCATGTGTATTGTTGCGCATGTAAAATATCCCCTGGCAGTTGAAAATCAAAAAAAGATAGCCTAACGGCGCAATTTGGAGTTAAAAATCTACACAAAGTATTTTAGTATCTTCGCCGGAGCTACGGAGTTTGTGCACTGCGCTGAGATTCTTCGGACTTAGGCTTGAGTCAGAAGTAGAATGCAGCACTTTTGTGTCACCACTCTTATTTATGCCATGATGTTGTTCTGTTGTATAAACAAACAAACAAACAAACAAACATTGTTTTTTTGTTGACTTTCCTTGTGCTTCTTCATAGATTGTGAGCAATTACTGCTCCAGATTTCTATAGTTTAACTGTTTACGTTGTCAGTTCAGTTATTTATTATCCAGATCTTTTGTTGTTGTTGACATTTACATTTTGTTTCTATTGTAATGTCTTCTTGTTTCCATGCATCCTGCAGAAGGACTGCCCTAAAATGGACCCACCACACGTTTCAGCTCTACCTTGAGAGTTTCTCTCATCTTACCTATTTTAATTCTAAAATATTTTAGGTGAATGTATTGTATTTTAGAGCAATCAGTCCATTTCTGAATTGTTTCTTTGTCATCTGTTCATCTTATAAGGTAACTTCTAGCTTTATTTGTTGGTATTGTTGATGGTAGTTTCCTTTGATTTCATACCTTCATGGTATTTCTGTATATCAAAGCCCGGCTTCCAGTTGACAGTCCATAAATGTCCTTTCATGGCAGGTTTATTTTGTTGCCTTGCTCAGAGACATAGAAGATGCTTTTCCTTGCTCAGAATAACTCATTTTCCTTCTTTGTATTTGTCTTAAAAAAATCAGTCTTCATGAACACTGAG